CTATAATTGTTTATGTCCGCCGGATTGCCTCCTTTATGGACTGGCGTTACTCTTGCTTTTTTGAGGATATCAGGGAAGGTGTGACACTCTATAGATTTGTTGAACAGTAGTGCTATGGGTGGGGCAAGGGCATGGGAGGCTCTCTTGTACACAATGGACAGAATTTCACTGGTGTTCCCTGCCTTGGTTTTTAGAGAGTGTATGATGGACACAACATCTGCCGGGCTGATTGGTGAAAGGAGAAGAGAGTTTGGATAGCTGCCTGAGAGATATGTGTTAATATGTGTCTGAGTCTGTGGGATTTTACTGGCAAGATTAGCACCAACCGATGAAAAGAAACTACTGTATTAAATTCATTTGCCATTTCTAAATCAGTTGACGGTATATCCCCATCCTTGTAGAGTTTTATTTGGTTATGTGAGTGTTGTTTAGTTCCTAGGATACTAGAGATAGTTTTCCAAGTGCTTTTCATGTTGCCTTTTGCTTCATTGAATCTATTCACATAATATGCAAGTTTTGCCTTTCTTATGATACTGGTAAGCATTGATGAGTACCTTTTAGCTACTTCCTTTGAAACTAGGCCAATCCTAACTTTCTTTTCATATTCATTTTTCTTGTTGATTGAGTTAAGAATGCCACTTGTGAGCCATGGATTGTTTAATCTTTTGTCAGTTACTTGCTTGGTAAGAAGGGGACAATGAAGGTTGTAGAGGCTTAGAGTTTTGGAGAGGAAGAGGTTAGCTAATGAATTTATATCATGGGTATTATTGAATTCAGAATCCCAGTTAATATTGTGAAGTGCCTCTGTAAGATTGTCTAAAGCTGATTCACTGTGTAGCCTAAATGAAAGTTTCTTGCTTTTTGGTGGTGTTATGTCCATGTTCGCTATGAGAAAGGTAGGATAGTGGTCAGTTGTTCTGTCGTAGATTATACCAGATACAAGGGGAGCTGTTATGTTTGTCCATATGTGGTCCAAGGTAGTGGCTGATGTTTGAGTGACTCGGGTAGGTTTGGTGATTGTGGGGATTAGCATACAGGAGTTCATGCTGTTAAGGAAATAGTCAACTTGAGAGCAATTTTGTTGACCCAGGTCAATATTAAAGTCTCCTCCCAGAATGATGTGGTTTTTGTTGAGATTGTTGTTTATAATAAGATTCCTTAGGTTGTCTGAGAAAGAAGCTATGTTAGTATTGGGAAATCTATAGATGGCTCCAATAGTCAAAGAAGATTTAAGGGATTTAATTGAAAACTGAGCAAAAGTATATTCACAGTAGTCATCTCTGTCACTAATAACACTGTTGCAGATAAATGTATCTCGGTAATATATAGCTGTGCCACTCCCTTTTTTATTAGGCCTACAGTTATGAATGGCTTTATAACCAGCTAAGTTGTAGAGTTGGGTATAGTCTTTATTTAGCCAAGTTTCTGTTAAAATAATGAACGATAGGTTAGTACCTATTGCTGTGAGTAATGCATTTAAATCGTGTTTAAACATTTACAAACATTAAACATTAAACATTTGTGTTTATTAACGAATTTACGTAAAATAAACATTCTTCTGAGAGAGTTGATCTGTCGCTCAGTCTATGCGGGGGTCGGAGCTCGGCGATTATTAAAATACATGAATCTTCATTAGAACTTTAATTATGTCTATGATAAAGTGTTTAAAATGAGCCTTATATTCCTATCTTTCTTGAGGCATATAAAAAATTTACGATTATTTACAAATTTACGTGAAATAAGCATTGTTCTGAGAGAGAGTTGCTCCGTCGATCGATCTGTCCGGAGTCTGAGCTCGGCTATTATAAAAGTACACGTATCTTCGCTTTAAATTTAAATATGCCCATGGTAAGGTATTTAGAACGAAGCTTATATATATGTCTTTCTTGTGACATATAAAACTCTTACGTTTATTAAGGAATCTGCGTGAAATAGGCATGGTTCTGAGATGAATGCTGCGGTTTTCGAGTTTGACGAGTGATGAAAACTGCCACTTTTATACAACTACAAATATCTTCGGTTTTACTTAAAATATTTGTCTGGTAGAGGTTTTACATATAGATCGCGTTTCTGTCTTTCTTCTGACTAATAAATAATTTTGGTTTAATCAGTTATCAAGATGTTTTCAACAATATTCTTTCAGCGTTCGTCTTTTCCAACTTGGGCGACCCTTTTGGAAGCTCGATACTTGGGTTAACCCATCCTATATTTGGGTCTGTTTCCAACTGGGGTTCGAATAAGATACTGGAGATCTGTGGAGGTGCAACTGCACCCTGCGTGACGAGAGATGTTTCCCGTGTCCACAGTTGTTATTGTTACAGATTTAGCTACTCAGAACGAAGTGTCCATGTAGCACAGGCTATGGTGAGCCCGTAAGAGTCCACAGGCACGCATTTAATTAAGTCCCCCCTTTCGGTGCGCGCGCAGCGTGGACGGTTAGACACAACTCTTATAATTACGTTTTCTTCTCACAGAAAACTCGCCACTTTTGTGAAAAACTGTGGCTATATGTTGTACAGGATTGTAGACTGCAATTTTTGTGTATTTCAAAATTTTTAGGTGAATTCTGTATTAAGAAATCTGTAGTTTTAATGTTACGAGAGTAAAAGAATTGTCCATATTCTGAACATCAGCTTTATGTATAAACTGGTTGTTGAAGATCCTTGTGAGCATCAGTGTGACCAGTCTCTTGGATTAATGGTAAAACTCTTGAGTTATTCCTCGCTCGCTCAATGAAAATATTCCGTGATTGACAACTACAAATTAACACGGAGGGGGAAAGGGAAGGGAACTATCATCAAAAAATGGTATAAGTTTTGTTATACCAATTTCTGGTTGTCTGTCAGCTTTTTGGAGCCATTTTAAATTTAGACAACCTATCCTCCAAAACTGATGCTATATAACTATATAAACGACTGTTAAAGTCATATGTACAGAACTTTGACTGTGACACTCACAAAAAGTAAAAAGTTTTTGTTTTGCATTTTGGACTATTGTAAGCAATGTGTATTGGTTTTCTAAAGGACATTGAAAACCGCAATCTAATTTAGCCTCTATTAATCCTAATACAAGCAGTGCTAGGCCTAATATATGCAATTCCAGGCTGTATATAGCACATATATTTCACTAGGCCTAGGATAAGTTAGGCTAGGTTTTTGTTTTTATTACGCACTGTACAAAGCTAATAGTACAAAACATTGATTTTAAGGGCACAACAGTGCTAATCCCTACGTATGGTCCATAGTCGCGGTATGTACTACAGTATCATATATGGAGGATACATTAAAATTCATGTTAGGATTTACAGTTCTTGGGGTCTAAGCAGTTTTGTGTCTAGTAATAGTCCCAAGGATTGGGATATGACCAGAATCCTTCCACTAATTCAGTTCTCACTAGTAGGCTGTGTAGAGCCCGTCAACTCTGCGAGTGCCCTTGGGAAGTTCGGCTTTTGTGGACACTTTTCATCATATATGAGTGTTTCAGAGTTTAATAGACATGTTAGGTTATGATATGTTACATTGTCCTGTATACAAACAGCACAGCACCCCATGGGCATGTATTCAATTAGCACAGCACCCCCATGGGCATGCATACAATTAGCAGTGCTCAATGGGCATGTATACAATTAACACAGCACCCCAATGGACATGCATACAATTATCAAAGTGCCCCATGGATATGTATACAATTAGCACATCACCCCCATGGACATGTATACACTAAGCACATTGCCCCGTGGACATGCATACAATTAGCACAGCACCCCATGGACATGCATACAATTATCACAGTACCCCTTAGACATCTATACAATTAGTAGTGTCCCATGGCCATGTATACAATTAGCACAGCATCCCATGGACATCTTGAGGTTATCTTGATATGATTTTGGGTCTTAGTGTCCCACCCATGGCCCGGTCCTCGACCAGGCCTCCTTTTTGTTACACACCCCCAGGAAGCAGCTCGTAGCAGCTGTCTAACTCCCAGATACCTATTTTCCTGCTAGGTAACAGGGGCATTAGGGTGAAAGAAACTCTGCCCATTTGCACAGCACCCCATGGCCATGCATACAATTAGCACATCGCCCCAAGGATATGTATACAATTAGGGTGGTATACAATTTGTATACATTATAATTGTATACTTTTATAATGAATACTATTATAATGTATACAATTATACATTACAATTGTATACAATTAGTATACATGCCCCCATGGACATTGTATACAATTAGCACAGCACCCACACAGAAGCTCACTGTTCTGTGGCCCACCATGTGCAAAGTTCCAAAACCCACCAAACTCACCATTCCTTGGCCCACCACGTGAAACGTTCCAAAATCCACCAAGTTCACTGTTCCGTGGCCCACCACGTGCAACGTTCCAAGATCAACCAAGCTTACTGTTCTGGGGCCCACCACGTGCAACGTTCAAAGATCCACCAAGCTCGCTATTTTGTGGCCCAACTCCAAGATTCACCAAGCTCTTCTTCTTCTTGATAGTAGGTGCGGTTTGCATGAAGGGTTTGTCCTCCCGATGACTGCACCAGTACAGATGTTAGGAGATGCATTTATGTTGAGGAGGATAAGTTTCAAAAGGGCTTGTAGCGTTGTGCTGTAGATAGAGGAGCGGCGACTAAAACGGAGGTGTATGTTAGAGTGAGACTTGCTGCACCGTAGGGTGGTATGTTGTGTTTAATCAGCTGATCTATGGTGTTGCGACGAGGCATTTGTTTTCTGTTTAACTGTTGATGGCGCCAGGTATAAATGTGGCACGGGTCAGATGTGATCCAATTTGTTGGTCAACTGGAGATATTTAGCCAGTGCTTTGACTATTTGGTATTTTTCCTATAACGAGTGGTCACCTCCTCCTAATATATGCTCGATGGTAAAGGGTATTTTAAGTGCAATAAATACTTGTTTGAAATTTACTCTGGCACTATGATATCGGAAGCAGTGAAGGAGATAGTGTTCGATTTTCAAAATAAGGTAAATTAAGCAAAGTTTTGGGAGTAGTTTAATGTGCAAAATTGCACCAGATTTTTACAACTATATCTGTACACACAGGCTACACCATGTTAACATGGCCTGTATTGATTGGACCTTCACAATCCAAACAAGCATTAATTTTAATAATCAAATAAATTTTTATATATAAAAAACAAAAGCAATGTACTGTAGAGGTAATCAAAATAGAAAAATTAATTTCTAAACTGTACAATAAATCCCCTCAATTTTATTTTAAGCAAATGCTTAAATGCGTGTTACTAGTTTCCAAGAACACTAATTTGTGACAATTATTCTATATAGCAATACTCATTGACAAAGTATTATCCAACTAATTATTAATATTGCCTATAAATCTTCTTTTCACAAATGCTTAATAACAATTGTATTTTCCAAAAAGAAGATTTTATACAAAATTAAGATGAAAAACATCTATGAAACATTATCTAGCATATGAATTGCGATTTTAAGAAAACTGAAATATCAGTAGATTATAGTACGGTACTGTACTACAAAAAATTCATCCACCAGAGTTAATGTTATAGATATAGCAGTATATATGAATTCCTAAGAAATCTAGATATTACTGCAGTAAAAATACTTTGCTATAAAATGTATTTTTAAACTATATAGTATACTGTACACTGAGAACATCTAATATACAAGAAAAATAATCAAGTTTTGGTGCAAAGGAAAATGCTCCATTTTAAATTCTCGACTAATAGTATTAACTCTGGAGGAGTATGGTTTCAAATACTGCAAATATTCTCTAACAAAGAGAAATATGATGTCCATATGACTTTGTATCAACAGTCTTGTGAACAAAGTCTTCAGTGATTTCCATCTGTGCTAGAGTACAATAATGGCACAATAAAGTACAACATTTGCTTCGTAAGGCACAACCAAATTTCATGCAGAGCACCAGTTTCATACTCTGCATCACTCTTATTCTGAGGGGAAACTATAAATACCTATAAATTACACAAAAGTAACTGACTGAAGCAAAAGTTAGTATTAAGCTATAACTTTGTTATTACACCATAATATTAAAAAGACAGTACAAGAAGAAGGTGTTGAAGGCCGAGACTGGTGTATATTACACTAAAGCCCATACTGGTAACCATTGCAACATTCATATTGAACACCTGAGTATATTAACCAGCATTGTTGCAAGCTTTCTAGTACACTTCAGATTTGTAAGTACAACCAGAGAAGCCAAAAACAATTATGACTGCTCAGATCTAAACCTCAAGCAACAGCACAGTCATTGGGCTTGTTATTGCAAATATTTACAGCTGTAATATTGATGGAAGCATTTTTACACTATTGCTGGGTATCAGCACTTGACAAAGTATATAAAAACAATGTTATTCTCTAAAATGAGACATCACAAACATAAGTGGGGCAAGGAGAAGACAGGAAAACTTAATTATACATGAAATGCGTGGCCTAAATGTGAGCATGGACTAAGGTTCCTCTGCGTGTGTAGCACCATTCCCACTTCCTTTGATTCCATTCATCTCCATATCGTATGTCTGAAAAGCAAGAATAAAGTGATAAGTCTTGCAGAAACCTGTTTGTTTTATACCAATATATTTTGCTACGAGTTAAAACATTTTATTCACAAAGTTCCTCTCTATTAATTAACATTAATACTGTATACAGAGGAACCATGGTTAATGAATTTAATCCGTTCTGGCACCGAGCTCGTCATGTGAAACGCTCATCTTGTGAAACAAATTTCCCCATTTAAAATAATGGAAATACAATTAATTCGTTCCACCTCTGAAAAACATCAATATGAAATTTTATAATGTAATTATAATACATATAATTATTATAAATGTTTTGTTTTACTGTTTTCAATTGTACTTTACCTTATGAACAGTCGTTGCTGGCTTGAGGGAGACGATGGGGAGGTGGAGAGGAGGAGAGGGGTTACAGTGTGAAAAAGAGAATCCACCTCCGAGTCAGACGGGCTCTCTCTCTTTTTGTGAATTGTGGGGTTGTGGGGGGGGGGGGATGGAGGAAGTAGGGAGGGTGCGAGATGGGGGGGGGGTGGAGTGGAGGTAGCGAGGAGGGTGACCAGCTCTGCCAAACTTCTCACTACTGCTCTCCTGCACACACTGACACCTGCCCACCTATCCACCCACTTTGCCACCCGCCCCTCCACCATCCATCCATCCAGTCCCCCTCTCCACCATACATCCATCCAGTCCCCCTCCACCATACATCCATCCAGTTCCCCTCCACCAGCCATCCATCCAGTCCTCCCTCCACCATCCATCCATCCATCCCCCCTCCACCATCCATCTATCTAGTCCCTCTCCACCATCCATCCAGCCCCCAGGACCTCCACCATCCAGCCCCCCCCCTCCACCATCCATCCATCCAGCCCTCCTCCACCATCCATCCATCCAGTTCCCCTCCACCAGCCATCCATCCAGTCCCCCCTCCACCATCCATCCATCCATCCATCCCCCCTCCACCATCCATCCAGCCCCCAGGACCTCCACCATCCAGCCCCCCCCCTCTGCCATCCATCCATCCAGCCCCCCCTCCACCATCCATCCATCCAGCCCTCCTCCACCATCCATCCATCCCCCCTCCACCATCCATCTATCTAGTCCCTCTCCACCATCCATCCAGCCCCCAGGACCTCCACCATCCATCCAGCCCCCCCTCCACCATCCATCCATCCAGTTCCCCTCCACCATCCATCCATGCAGCCCCCCTCCATCATCCTTCAATCCAGTCCCCCTCCACCATCTATCCATCCAGCCCCTCTTTACCAGCCATCTATCCAGCCCTCCTCCAGCATCCAGTCCTCCCTCCACCATCCAGCCCCCCCCGTCCATCATCCATCCATCCAGTTCCCCTCCACCATTCATCCATCCAGTTCCCCTCCACCATTCATCCATCCAGTCCCCCTCTGCCATCCATCCATCCAGTCCCCCTCTGCCATCCATCCATCCAGTCCCCCTCTGCCATCCATCCATCCAGTCCCCCTCCACCATCCATCCATCCAGTCCCCCCTCCACCTTCCTCTTGACAACATCTTTAGCAAACAGCTTCTTTCTTTGGTGACATCGCGGGTCACAAATTGTAGTCATAAAACCACAAAAACAAAGAAAAGCACAATTAAATGCAAAGGGCTGCTTATCCTGCGCGATAAAATAACACTGTCGTCGGAGGTGTCCAAGAATTTGTGAGACTGGGCGGGAATTCTAGGAAGCACCATGTAGTTTTCTTGTTGACCAAACGGAAGCTCGTCAATCGAGACGAATTTTCTGTGAGTGGTTCGCTCGTTACTCGAAATACTCGTAAATGGGGCTGCTCATCACCTGAGGTTCCTCTGTAATACTGTCAACATTGTCTTTCTTAACACCCCCTTCAGTCATCCTCATAAAAGACCTCATGCCACCATATTGATGTTTAATCTTTAATATAACTGAACTTTCTACCATAAAATACAGTATCTATTGAAAACAAATGTTGAATGTAATGAAACTTCCTTTACTGATGGGTATCAGGAGCTCCCAGCAACATGTCTAGGCTTGGTTACACTAGAACATATGCATTAAACCTTTCGAGATCAATGCGCATTTACTGCTGATCCAAAATTAAGAAAAGTCTACCATGAAGGAAGGCCCCCCCAAAAAAATGAAAAAGAAAAAAAGAAATAAAACAATGCAAGAATAAAATTAAGATTTCCCTGTCTTGTTTGACAGAATTTATTCCCCTGCAACAATGATAACATCTTTTTTCTATTTTTTTATTTATATATACAAGAGTTTTTACATTCTTGTAAAGCCACTAGCATGCATAGTGGCAGGTCCACTACTAGCATGCATAGGGCAGGTCCTTAATCCTAATTTTCCCAAGAATATGGCCCGCCAAATTGTTTAACAACCAGGTACCCATTCACTGCTGGGTGAACAGAGACTACAGTTAAGGATTGGCCCCAGTCAATCTTCCCCAGCCAGGATACAAACCCAGGCCAAAGCGCTCATGAAACACAGGGCGAGTGTGTTACCACTGCACCATGGGGGACAGTGTTCTTGCGTATGAACTCTTGCATGTAATTCGGGGCAGGAATGGGGAGCTACTTGGTTCTCACCAGAAAAAGTGCATTTCGTTATAATCAAAAGACTCCAACCCTGGAGGAGCACTGTCCTGCCCCAGATTGCAGGGATTTCTCACCAACAGAGGCCAGGAAAATGAATGACTAAAAATCGAAGAACAATGACATGAATTCCTTCATACGAGTCAGCCCTGAGAACTCTCTACCAGACCAGGGGGATGGAAACTCCTCCATTTACCTATTTAGGAAAGTCTATTTGCACATCACCAGACAATAAAAGTAACATGTGTATCTATGGCACTTTTTGTGGGAAATGAAAATTGTACTGAAGCCTTACAAAGAACTCCACAAATGGTCAGAAGACTGGCAAATACTTTTTAATATAGAAAAATGCAAGACCTTGCATGTGGGGTACAACAATCCATGTCACAACACTCAAGTTAATAACATTTCCTAGCAGCAGATTGATGAAGGAAAGGACCTTGGAGTCAGAATTAATCATTCACTGAAAGTTACATAAGTGGGAGCTGCAGTTAAAAAAAACTAAAAATAATTAAACACTGGGAATAATCAAGTGAACCTTTGACTAAGGAAAATTAGGTAGTTATTCAAATGTATAAATCTCTGGTGCACCCCCACTTGGATTATTGTATCTAAGAATGGAGACCTCATCCTCAGAAAGACAGACGCTTTGAAGAATGTTCATCATCAGGTAACAAAAATTATTCCAAAACTTAGTCGCCACATACTAGGAATGGTTAAGGGTCACAAGGCTAACAACACTGTTAACCAGACATGACAGGGTGGATCTCATTGAAACTTTTAAAATACTGAACTGAACTTAAAATACTAGGATATTGATCCAGACAACTTCTTCAAAAAGTCAGATGTTGTACAAGGAGCACAATGTAGGATAGGAAACAAGATATGCTTTTCCACCCATACAGTTATAAACCCATAGAGTCCACCTACCCACTACAGCTGTAGATGCCAAAACACTACTGAATTTTAAAATCCAGCTTGAAAAAAATCACCAGGACAAATGGGGGGGGGGGACCTTTGACAAGCTGCTGGCTTTCTGTCCTCGTCGAGGCCACTAGTTAGTGGCCCCTCAGGTAAATTCAGATAAAATATAAAGTTGTAAGGAACTGGCCCTATGTAGTGTATACAGACACAATCTCAGGCCTGGATGATTATAACCACAAAAGAATGTAAAAACAATTCAGTGTTAATGTTCTACTTTTGAAAGTAAGTTGCACCAATGTAGCAGTTCATCTGTACAGGAGAGTAGGGATATCCCCTTGTAGGAGGGAACTACCGGTTACTTGTATAGAGAGCATACACTAAGAAACTTTTAAACTGAAAAATACATTTTGTTTAACACTTCTACATGAAAAACAATATTACAGTAAATACAAAACTAGATAAAAGCTTGTGAATTTTGAAAGGGAATATTACAAAAACAGTTTAAAATCTCTGAAGACTGGACCATCTTTGCCCGCCTCTGCATTCCAATAGTGTGTAAACACACTATTGGAATGAGGAAGAGCATCTATGGTGGAAGGATGGAGTGAATCGTGGGAATGTTGTCACATGTCTTGGGTTTAAGCTAACTTTTGTCGATTAGTAAATTTTGTCACTAATTGTATTTGGAGCTTCTGAGATTAGTTTTGATGTTAGCTGTACGTTATTCTTTCCATTCTTATGGTTTAGGTCACTTTGATATTTGCAAATTGACTAAGAAGAAGTAGATTCACAGCAAGTTATTTTTTTTATTTTAATAATTATTTAATTATTTTATTTATTTATTTATATATGTACAAGAAAGTACATTGGGTTGTAAGAGTACATAATATTGGTATTCTTACATTCTTGTAAAGCCACTTACACGCACAGCGTTTCGGGCAGAACATTTAAAACAAGTGGTTATTATTATTATTATTAAGTCAAAAGGTTACTGATACTGATTCTTAACCATCTTGTATTTGTATTAAGAATGGGCAAGATCTCATACCCTTACACTGTGGCCCTGGAAAGCCTCCCATTTTAGTCCTGATGTTTAATAATAGACTACACATACAAGATTGATGTGAGGTATCAAGGAATACATTCCCATGTAGTTAAGAATTTGATGTATATTTTACTATATTTGAAAGTTCAAGTTCCTAAATTTCATCCAGATAGAAAACTCGCTATTTAAAAAAGCTGTAACCACTTAGAATGACAGCTGTCATTTATCTGTTGAAAAGAAAACAATTTAAGGTATAATTTAACAAAATTTAAATATGGGAACAAAATAGATTTCAAAAACCCTAATTGATCTAACAGATATACCTTATGTGCTGGAGATCAAGATGCAAGACTTTCATCAAGACTGAATAGGAAGGAGATCATTCTTCAAAAAGCGGTCTTTGGTGTAGGGGAGAAAATAACAAGGAAACTGAAAAAAGTCAAACAATTCCCTAAATAACAACTCCCAATACCATCAGAAGTAAAGTATTTTATGAACATATACCCAAGTTTCAAGCAAATATTCTGAATCATGTGACAGGCAAATGTTGTTGAAGAGACCAATGAAGTTGACTTTGTAATTAAGAAGAACTGTTTGAAGAAAACTAAACATCAGCAAATTACTGGCACAGAGCATCACTGTCAAATATAAATGAAGGGAATAGAGACTGATTTGCACATTAAGGTTGTACATTTCAAACATACTAGGTTGAAAATAGAAAGTTACACTGTGAGAGCTTGATGCTATCACAAAACTGGAAAGTATCGTATGAGTATCTGGAAGTGAATAAGACTAGAGCTCAAAGTTTAGTAAGAGGAAGTGTAAGTGCTCGAGTATGAAAACAGCAATATAAAAGCTTCCCAATTCATATTAAAAAAAAAAAAAAAAAAAGAGAGAAGCACAAGCTATAAAACCACGTGTTAAGAAGCTTGTGTTATTTGGCAAATTTTTTTTTTTTGCTTAAAATACACAGAAAAATCGTGCCAAGTTTTGTTTTACTCGGTTATAAAATAGATAATTTTTTAGCCGCAAATAACTAAAAATCTTTAACAGGTGAATACACATTGTTCACCTAAGGTTAGTCTCTGGGGTACAATCTTTCCCAGTCGCCTTCCCTCCCACCATCGCACGAGGGAGGTGTCAATCAAAATATGAAAGGGCTTGAGCTGGGGACCTCTTGATGTTGGCTAAGGTGCTGCCATTTGCAGGTGATTGGCAAAAGCAGCCAGGTGAGAAATTAGTGGTGGAGACAGTAATACCTGGTGGTCCCTGCTATGCCAGGTAGGGCTTGGAAACACTTTGTGGTCCTGCCATGCTGGGCTGAACTCTCCTCCAGTGTCCCCTCCAAGCACTAGTATAACTTGACAAGAACATTTTGAAAAGTTTCCAGTTGCATTAGCGTGAAATGTATTGCTGCCCTGACTTTGACGAACCTGCCCAATGGCACTTTCAGTGAGCTAACCTTATGCAGCATCCAAGTGTCATGCTCAGATAGCAGTGTTTCATATTCAGAACTTCATTTTGCTGGTGCCAATCTGGTGCCAATAACCTTGTTATAACACCAGAGAAAATTTGTTAATGTATCAATCATCTAATTGAAGGTCACTTTGGTCTGTCCCATCTGCACTGTACATAATATTTTCTGAATACTTCATTCTTGTACATTGAAGTAAAATGTTTCACATTAACATTCAACTGCTTGCAAAATTCTTCAGTGCATTTATTACAATGAATCTGTTCACTAAGCACAGAGAAATTATTTTGCATGCACAAATATGTATTTAGCATGTTAAATTTATCTGGAATATGTTTAATAGCCAGTTATATTTTCTACATAAATTTTACAAATCACAGTTTAGATAGAATCTGCGTCAAGATTCTCATGTTAATAAACAATCCTTACCATTTCCAAATTTTCTTCATATTTTAATCCTACAATATATTTTTGAAACATACTAAGCAGATACATCAGAATACTTATCAGACTGTATTTCTTACAATACAGGAAGAAGGCAGCTACAGTTCTCCATGAGAAAGACAAACTAATGCAAATCTCTTCAGAAAATAATGGAAACCCAAAAGTATAATACTTTACATACCCTGTTTAGTATTTAGATATTTAGACATGAAAACATGAATGTTAGATGTGACAAATGCATTTTTTTTCCATTTCAATTCTAGAAATTATGAGGCATAAAGATTCAATTTGTAAATTCTGTTATTTTGGTTTCCACCGTGAAGAGTATTTTCAGTTATGAGTTAAATTTCATCCCAGGAGATAATTCTACTATGGGATAGTTGCTTCAATTTGGTCAGCAAACAATGGTGAACATACACATGCTCTTAAGAATTATAATTAACTATTTTACACTAATATTCAGATACTAATTTTTAACTAACATGTTTTGGAAAGTGGTTTATATGGAGTAATTTACGTGCAAGCTAAGCAATTTACTCAATGATTCTGTTATAATATGAGGGAAGTGCAAAATATTTTAATCAGGAACAACTATTCTGCAAACTTCAGCTTTTATCAACAACTACATAGCTAGTAACAACACTACTTTGGCATACTGAAGAATCAACAAGGAACTACAGTACAGTACTGGTTAATACGAAAGCGAGTTAGTTTTGTACTTACATTGTCGCCTACCTTGTATGACGGGTTGTCATACGCGGCGTTGTTTCTAGAGGAATTAATGTGTGCTTTTGCATGACTCTGCTTTCTAAGTAGGATGACAAGGAGACCAAGGAAGCCCAAACAGGCGATAGCAGCGATGATCGCCACAGCAACTAATGCTGGATAGTAACCATCACCATCTTCTGTAGACTTAGCTGAGGGATCTTATCGAAACAAATACCGAGTGAGTTACTATACATTTAGCAAAAAAACAGAGCACACTAATAATTATTTTTAAATTTAAAATTTTAACTAAACAGTCATGTGATCATCAGTGAAATTCTTAAACTTTAAGCTACTTTAAGCACTGTTGTTTTATTTAGAGTAAATCAATAATGATTTATTTATATTTGTTATAACAGTACAAATATTTAACAAATTATAACCTATACAATAACTAACAATGCTGTAAATATTTTAGAGGGTAGCTTTTCATATTAACGAATTTTGCAGGTAATTTTGTTTTCAACTTTTGAGACTACAGTATTATTAGTGTGGTAATTACAATTATGAGAGCAAAATCATTCATTGACAAAGGTCAGACAATATATAATATCAAGTGGGCAAAACTTAAAAATAACCCGTTATTTCACCACAAAGATAATCTCATCAAACAGAATAAAAATAAACTATGCATTATTATAAACTAATCTAAATGTGTGCAAACATACCATGTGAATGAAGACATAAAACATGGAAATTTTTAAAATAAAGAATTGCACAACATTTAATGTTTTCAAAAGTAAAACACTACCTAATTTGAATACTAAATTTTTCACACCAAGGAGAACAAATTCACAAGTGCCCAAGCTACTAATGCACCTAGAATTATCTAAATATGTATCTACTTAGTTAATTAATATACTTTTCCATTCTCGCCACTTTTCCCCTATTGCTACCGTTATAAAGTCGTTACCTAAATTTGAACGCAGTACAGTACTTCTCTACATATTAATTATAAAATATCATCTAGTTTTAAACACTTTGCTGAAACCTAAATTGTACTTCTGTTAGTTTTCAAATCACAGCAAATTCTCAATGTGTAATCTCAATGATTAATTCTGTTAGCTCTTAAGATTCATCATTAGTTAGGAATTGGTACACTTTTGTAAAACCACTAATCACTTTATCAATATTAATGCAATTGTAGCTATCCACTGAAGTACTATGAATATACCATACCCAAATTTTTTAATATAAAGTTAAAAGAAAATATTGCCCCCTAAAAAAAATCACATCTTGCAAAGATGTATGATATATGTTAATTTGCATCCATTTTATTTACAAAACCATTAAATAGATCAAATTAGATGTGTGTGTGCATGTGTGTGTGTGTTTGTTACTCATTAAAAGTGTTCTCAGAAAATTTATTAACTAAATGAGACATTTTGGTATGGCATTTAATAAGATATAAAAATACTTAAAAACTTACCAACTTCACTTCTCTCAGGCTTTGGAAGTTCTCCAGCTCGAGTAGTGATGGTCAGGACGTTGCTCTTCTTCTTGCGACCATTAGACAAGTAGGCTTCTAGCCACACTTGATATTCCACATCTGGCTTCAGTTCACTCAAGAATAGCTTCCTTTCTAGGCCAGTCTTAGGAACCTTAAAAGTGTCAGCATCTACTCTTTCATCCTCGCGTAAGTAGACAGCCCTATACACGCTAATATACTTCTCTTCGGGTTCTGGCACTCCAGAATAAAACAGTTCTGCAGTTTGGGATCCTACTTTGCCAGCAGTCACTTCAATCTCAAACGCATAAGGATCTAGAGAAATTAAATATATAAAGTGTAATACCTATTTTAAGTTTAAAATATCACCAATGCAACTAAATTTGTTTAATGAGCCAATTCTTATTTCTATAGTCAAGAAGAAATATATAATAATTGATATGCCATTCAGACCATGAATATTTCTTGAATGCCTTATGCCTCAATATGAAAGTAATGGCAAGTTCATTAACAAAGAGGAAATTACCTTCTTCGGGAAGTGTAGTAAATGTTTTAGGCTCGGTGTTTGTGACTTGAGTCGTTTGATTCTCATGAGTGATGAAAACCAAGTCCACGGTGTAAGAATGGCCTGGCAATAGGTCACGAAGATCCATCTGATTGTTATCACGGTGGAACAACTGGCTGAACTTGGGTATCTGTAAAACAGTGATAATTGCATTATTAACTTTAAAGAGAAAATCAACTTGAGCAATGCAGGGATTCAAACCCTCAACCTGGTTACTACCAAGCTGTGTACCTTACCTCTTGATCACAACATAGTATAAACTATACAACCTGGGATTCCAGAGTCCACAGGACATCTGGAGGCCCCTACTGAGGCTAGTCCTGGTTTTACATAGAACCCCAATACACTCTGGTATAGGTATTAATGTTCTCCACTATATACTCCAGTTTTAAATCTGAAGGCCTATTTGCCATTTTTATTTATATCCACCCAAAACTCATTCATATATAGGAATCTATGCTTGAAATCCATGTTTAAAACTAACCTACACTTTAAAACTTATTTTTTGAATCTTATGTATTCTTACCAACTTATCCTTTTCGGTGTATTTAACTTGTACACCATCGATGTATTGTAACTCAAAGTCATTGAAGCCTCTCCAAGACACCTTTGCAGAAGTCTTGGTAATTGCAGAGGCATAGAGCTCGGCATTAATATCTAGACGAGGCAGAGGTGTGGTGGTTGGTAATGTTGTAGCTGCAAAGGTTTAACATAATTTGAAGGTGCAGTTATGAATTCATGGCCTACTGAGCAGATTTGAACACATGATACATAACAATCTTATGAATATTTTAACACCTAATTAATGAATAACTGAATACACATGTAAATACTAATTCTTGTACTAGCCATTTAATATCTTGATTTTTCAGGTAACTGGATGGGATCACAGGGTTTTGTTAGATAACAGGGCATCTGGTGCAGTCTGAAATTTCGATCTGCCACTGTGAGAGGTGCACCTAAAGCCAACCATTGTGGTTTGAATTGCCCTCATGCCCTGAGATTCTTAACAGAAAAATATATTGTATTTCTTTGAAGATCGACTTTTACCAATAATAATAATAATAATAATGTATGGAAAGTGATTCAAGAGGCATTACAAGTAAGAGGAAAAGCATTCTTAGCTCAGAGCTCCCAAATTATCTCATGGTACGTGAATTTATATTTAATATTTATACAGGTATTTATATTTTAATTATAGCTGTATGAACATCACAGATAAACAATTATCAACATGTCAGAAACTCAAGCAGCAAATTTTGTTTTATTTATTTACTTCAATATATTGTATGTGCTGTACTGTATTAAAATTTATCTTTTCAAACCAACAACACTTAATATATGCAAGAGTGGCATTAAATGTCAATTGGATAGAGGATCAATTATTATATTAATAAGCATAGCACAAAATTTTTGTATTTATAATAGAAATACTGGATGGGCTGATAGGGTGCAGAAATGTGATGAATGGAACTGTCAAGATATTTTTTCATTTGCCCCGGCTAGTGGGTCATTCTGTCCAAAACACGATCTGTCAATGGTTTTACATCCAGGTCCTTATTTACTGCCGAGAACACGGTGATTCAGTCAGGTAAATAAACTAATATAAATGTTTGTGTGTATAGTTTGTCCATGGAGGTGTAAACAAAATTCTATAGTAGTGCAGGCAAATCTGGATATATCAAGATGAATTGTATTATCATTAGCTAAATATTAATAATGCATTGCTATGAGTTCTAAATTCAAAATCAGGTCATCCCTAATACATTTTGTTGAAACTTTTTGGCAAACAACTAGTTTGTATAATCAAATCAAAAGAATGAGTTTATAGAATGTTACAAACAAATATTTAGTTATATATTTTAACTGCTATAGATCATACACAAAATAATTCTACAATTTAAAGCAACTTAATTATCATTTACCTTCATCCATAGTAGTGTAAGTAAACACTGGCGACGTAATAGGCTTGGTACCCTGCACGGTGAGAACGATTTGCATAGCATACTCGGTAGAGGGCTGCAGGCCGGTCAAGATGTGATCCCATTCAGACTGGCCAATGATAGATCCCATAGGCACCAACACCTCCTGGGACCACGTGTTTACATCAGAATGCTCCCTGTAAAAAAAAAATCATAATTACCTTAGGTATTAAAAATGATACTTGCCTGCTAGGATGATAATTATAATTTATTAATTATAAAAAGTCAATACAACCACCGCTATACTGTAGGATGACCAAGAAACACACTTCCTGTACAGTACGTTAATTGTTGCAGTGTTTGAAGATTCTTCAACATAAAAGCTGTTGAAGTTATTGACTAATAAAGGTGTTTATGTAGATTTCTCAGTTTTGTTATTTCTCTATTACTTTACTTTTACAGTCACTTCTGCTCCTCACTTCACTACTGCTTCACACAAAGATTCAAAATATGTCCATTATAGTATACTTACGTTGGATCAGCTGTGAACCTAATGAGTAATTCACCAGGTAGGCCTTGGTAAAGTGAAGGTGTCGAGAAGAAGAAGTGTACAGTTTTTGCATCCAGTGGGGTGATTCCAGGTTCATTAATGCCACCTGAAAATTTATAATTTATAAATGATTGAATTTTGATTACTGAATTAAATTTTTTCATATTCCTTAAATTTAATTCTCAGAGGGACCCATCATTCGGGGATAGCACATTTCATCTGGCCTTTGAAGCTCACAGTCCAGCATGGATGAGAAGGTTGTGTGCATTCTAATATCTGCAAAAGCACATGTTACGTTTTAATTCACAGAAAGTATGAATTTTCTTACCTTGAAGAGAACCTAGTCACTGTAGTAGAGCAGAATGAGTGGGCATTAACCTACAGTTACTAAGACTACGATGTTTGTTGTGATCACAATATATAACATTAGCTCTACAATTGTGTTATGTAGACTCAGAAGAATAGATCTCAATTAAGGGAATTCACAAAATGTTTGAGGAGATAAGAAATTTAAGATAAGTATGATTTTAAAGAATGTATCATGCTGTTGCCATACTTTTAATTAAATGCCATTATTGCAGTTCAAAATCCAGTTGGAATTTTTTTTTTCAAAACATGGGGAGGACCCATGACAAGCCACCAGCTTCCTGTTCCTGGTTAGGCCACTAGATATAGTGGCCATCAGGTAAAGTCTCCTTTAACCATACTGTCTTCTTCCATTGCTAACACTACTAAAACAGCTCCATCCTTGATACCTGACACCTCTAACACAGCTCTGTAACTTCCTTCATATTACTGCTCCCTTACACAACTCCATACCTGCAGCCATACTGGCACCCCAAACACAACTCGATACTTTTCTCCTATTGACCCCACTTACAACTCTACACTTCCCTAAAATCTCTTCCATCCAGCAGTGCAACAAAGGGAGGGATAAGAGGCATGTTGCCATATTCTCAACTTAACTTTGTATTGCAAAAATTCTATTGTTCGATACAGTTATAAAAACTGACTTACCAGCCAGTGTTTCCAATTACTGTACTGCTGGCTAAACGAGGGCAAACATTAAGGATTGTTGCTCAAGCGTCCTTACATGTCCAGGGATCAAACCTGCATGATATCGCTTGTGAGGAAGGGGTGTGAGCATGCTACTGCTTCACCACAAGGACTGCAATTTTATTTATATATACAATTTTGATGGCAAAATCCTGCAGTACAGTAGTCATTTCAATTTTTATCGAAATGAGTATTGCAGAGTTCTAAGAAATCCTAATTTTATACATATCTGTACATAAAATGCTGAATGTATCTGTCCCTAGATTTCTACTTATTAATTGTCATCATGACATGTCTGTGTGATGCAATACAGTTAATACTTTCAAATTTGTTTTCTGCCTGAGCAGTGGAAGATGAGACAGGTCACCAGCCACTTGGCTGTTTCAGTCTCCTCAAGAACATAACTCACTAACACATTCTACTACCCACACTTCTCATCAACACAACCAATCACTGCCATCCTAAAGTCAACATACCACCAACAAAACTCAGTTGCACCCTCCCCCTCCTCAACACCAAACTAACAACACCCAACAAGCAATACAACCTCAATATTTCTCACATCAAAAACAGTAAACCAGCAAATATGCCATTAAACAACACCAAACCAAAAGCCCCCACCAACAGCACCCAAAGGTAATACACCCCCTACCACAAATTACCAACAATATAACACTGCTCTAATACTAATGCTGTTTGCAAGGGAGTTAGGAGTTCTTCTCAACTGTTAAAATTATTATATCATATATAATCATGTACAGTATATAATTAGCAGTCTCCATGGCATGCACTTGTACCAGACTTTTCAAGTGATTTGGCCTGGGTTCGCATCCTGGCCGACGAGGACTGACTAGGTGCCAATCCTTAACTGTACGCTTCAGCTCACCCAGCAGTGAAAGGATACCTGGTTGTCAAGCGATTTAGCAGGTCTTATTTAGGGAAAATAAAGATTAAGGACCTGCCCAAAACACTATACATGCTAGTGACTTTACAAGAATGTAAGAACTCTTGTATAAAACAAAATAAAAATATATACAGTGTAATTAATTTACACTGAAGAATTGTTAAAAAAAAATAATGGTTCAAATTAGACACATGCAGCAGTACTGTATATGCACGCACCTGAACCAAAGCTAGGAGTCGCAGGATGAGCGATGGGGACAAAGCCAGAAGTAGAAGTACCACTCAATACAGACACAGGCGGCAGAGGAAAGATCGCGGGGAAACCTATAACACCACATGCATTTGATTAGCTACGAGGAGGCAGGCTTGGCTAGATCCATGTAATATACTATTAATATAATGAGATTAGTTTAGAGACATTTTACAGGCATTTTACAGGCATTTATCAAGTATTTCAAGAAAAGTGCTGATACCATCTTACTGTGAAGGAAGAAATTATTTTCATGTACACAACTGCAGAATATTTTTTATTAGATATCAATATACCTAATAAAATTAAATTGAAGGTATAGGGAGTAAAAATGTGAGATTAGGTTTCCTGAAAGGCCCATTTTGACCAAGTGAAAGCTTACACAGTAAAATTAAAAGTAAATTTATGAAAATAATCAGAAAACCTTTATAATAGTTTGATTAATTACTTTTTAAGAAAACATGCACTTATTACATAAAAGACAAAAGAATAGCTAAAAGGATAACTAGATCACAGTCATGCACCTTGTAACAGGCAATAATTTTGTTTAATTGTAACACCACGAGGATACAACAGCTAAGATTGTACTTCTTAGTGCAAATTAGTAAACCTAAGTGAAGATTAGAAGTCTTGAGTTGTACTTCAGAGCCAAAAATTCAGTAATGAACAATGAGTGCAGAAATGGTAATCATATATAATAAATAGGAATTTTGAACTAGATTTTGTATTTTTATTCTTTTTGCCAAGCCTTGTTTCTGAAGTTTTGCATGATAAAAATCTATGTGAGATTTGATGGAGGCTATATACCAAGCATCACAGCTGCTTTATAAATCCTCCATCAGATCAGATGCCACTCTTTACTGGGTAAAGCATTACACATTATACAGGCTTCTTCTTGGCTCATGTTCCCTTCAACACACTTATGTCTAATGTCTTGCCTAAGACTTTATAGCAGCTAATGGGACACTGTATAATGCCAGTTGTAGTTGCACTAGAGTGCCATTAAAGTTGTTGATGCCATATTTCTTTAAAGTCTACAAATAGCCTATAGTAAGTGTTAACATCCTTCATAACTTGATAATGCTATAAATCTTAATTTTCTTTGACATTATTGTTCATATATATTAATGTGTGTTCTACCTCAACTATGCAAAACAATACATCATACAACAATGAAATGTATTGTTATTTTGATAGGGATTTTGGGCAGTACTGCTATGGCTAAAGAGTAGCAAATTCATTATATTCTTAGATTACTTTATGATTGCATAAATTAAAATTATTATTAAATAATAATACAAACAGGCATTACAACAGCTAAGAGTGTGCAGTTCATTGGGCAGCTTGTGGGCCACCAGGGTGCCTGGGTACCCACCTTGAGTGTGACCTGGGAACTGCGACGTCTCTGTCACCGCCGTTGTACCCAAGAACTCAAATTCTGCAACACGACCATGCAACATGTATACTCTGAGCATAATGAATGATGCATGCACATACATGTGAATATTCACACACACACACACACACACCATGCCAAGAGTTTGGTTAATAACAGCAAGATGTTTAATTTCAAATATTAATTATTTACATTTGCAGTATTAGTTTTGAAGGAAAATTACATTCAGTAGGCTTATACTATCAAATAAACAAAATTAAACAAAGCCAACTTGAGGGAATATTACACAGAAAATTCCATATATATATATAAATAAAAAAATGAAGTACCTCTATGAGCAGATCATTCTACTACCAAGCAAGGCAAGATCTTGCCATGTCTTTAGGACAGGGTTATTTACATTTCAGAAGGACAACATACTGGCAATGACACCACAGGGATCTTTTCAAACTATTCCTGCAGAACCAGTAATGTGCTTAAGAGTCACTGGAAAGCCTTCAAACCACCCTATAATAACTATCAGCACTTCATTAAAAAACCTTTCCAAACCCTCCCTTTGATATCACTATCACTAGTGTCCACCAAGGAATGGCTCCAGATATCAGTTGTCTAACTTTTATACCTGCTACCTAATGCACAGCTCTAAAACCTCAGACCTACCCCACAATTAAGGAAGGCCTGATTCTCTTAGGCCTCACAACAAATGAACAGAGATTGAAACTCGCGTTCTTTGAGCCAGGATGTGCAACCGATGTGATCCCTTGGAACAACAGAATCACTGGTATAGGAAACCTGTGCAGAACATCCCTTGGAACAACAGAATCACTGGTATAGGAAACCTGTGCAGAACATTTCTGTCCCGAGGCTTTTCTTGTCGTGACGATAAGACAAAAAAGTTAAGGCAGCATGCAATGCTAGGAATTCATAAACTATACAAGGCTTTATAAACTCAAGACAACTAAGAATAAGAAAAAAAAATTGGGTATAATCAAAGATCTGTAAATAGTACACTGTAGACACTGGCTACCAACCAAGCCATGAATGCAGAATTCAAAGATCCCAATAGTTAAAATACATCACATTTAACGGAATTATCGGGGGCCCCATATGCCAACATGGGACAGTTTGATGGGAAGGGTTTTGAGTTTATGAATCTACAACTGTTGGTCATAAACAACTGTTGGCCTGGATTAAATTTTTTCCAATGTCTCACTAGAACTATAATGACCCAGCAGGGGGAGATGAAATGTTCTCTAAGATGATGGGGCCAGAATGTTAACCTACCTGACTGTGCATGATGCTATTCTATGAACACAGCCAAATTTGATAGGAAACAGCATGAGGACATAGCTTAAAAATAACATGATTAGTTCTACAAGTAGATGTTAATACCGTATATCAGTAAGAGAAAAACTATACATTCTATGAAAATATTAAAAGTTTTCTATTTCAGTTCTTTATAATATTTAGACTTTCCTTTTATAAGGGCAAATGTTATTTCATTATTAGATTTCCACTTTGAAGGAGTTATTTTTAGCATTATCATTTTCAGCATTATCCAATTTCACACTTTCACGGGATGGGAAGGTACCAGCCCAGAAAAAGGAGAGCAGTATAGGTAAAGATAGCAATAGATATTAAATAAATGGTACCATTTAATCACCATATCATGCACAATACATCATGGAAAACTAGCATCACCAAACTCTAGCAAATCATTCAGAGCAGCACTCCACAGCTTCACGAGATAATGTGACCGTACTGTGATCGTCAACAGTTATCACATATAAGCAAAACACACTACTCCGCAAACTTCTGCCTCCTAGCCTTCTTCCCTGCCACATCCCCATGTACTAACTCATGGGTGCTAAGATGCTTGAGTGTTGTTCACACTCAATCACTGCTTTGCAAAAAAAAAAAAAAAAACTCATCATGTCTGCCTGTCTCCTTGTCTCAAATTTACTTGTATTTACATCATTAACATATCCATTCATTCAACATAAATAAACCATCTCGGTACACTCCTCTTCCTTGCTCATAACGTTAACCCTACACCAAGTGAGATAGATGATGAGAAAATATAATTTCTGATATCACCGAGATACCATGTCCATTGCATTATTGCATAGTGTTTAAATACTGTACACAGAAGAGTCGAGGGAGGGTATCAGAACAAGAAATTATTTGAGAACTACACGAGATACAGGAGGGCAATGACTTGCCTGCAGGAAATCTGACAGTAAAGTGGTTAGTTTTAGAGAGTAAACCTATCAAAGAGAGTTACTTATCAAAGTCCCCCTAGGCCAATGACTGGCCTTCTCCTGGATACAACCCACAACCGCTGACTACCTCCTGGATGCCTATTTACTGCTAGGCAAACAATGGAATCAGGTAAAAGGAATTGTGCCCAGGAAATAAAAGCAGGATTACCCATCGGTTCTAGCAGTCATGGAAATAGTACAGAGAACAGATTTTAACAGTGAAAGGGTACTAATGGGACCCAGAAATAAATACACCAGTCAGGAGAGAAGCAGAACAGCAATTTAAGCAATTGTCATCGAAATGCTAAAGTGTTAAATTGTATAAAGGATGAGATTGCAGTGGTAATCTTCTCCACAGAGAAGGAGAAACTTTCCGGCCTGGAGACCCCAACCCACAATAAGGTCAAAGTGGCATCAGACCAAAGCTTCATTCAATACTTCATATGGAGCCAAAATCTTAAACCCGAGTAGATGAAGGGCCAGCCCTCAAATCCGGTAGTGAAGGTAAAACATTTCCAAATCCAGAAGCAGGTGAAAAGGGAGGCTGTGCAACAGAAATTCCAAAATTCCAAAATAATAAAACAAGCCAAATTCCCCTGAAGATAGGACCAAAACCAGGAAATAGAAACACCAGTGATAATATTTCACAGAAGCTCCACAATGACTTTATATGCCACCTACCAAGACACGAGTTCAGAGTGGCCAGCTATGCTCGACACAAGGGTAAACTGATGCTTAGGCCAACAGGGAGCATGCAGGATCAATAAAGATTAACTGGTGAAGTCAAAATACACAAAATGCCAAACTTTCATACTGCCCAGGCAGTGTAAAACTTTGTACCAAATAAATTTACCATCAGTTCCCTCATCAGATGCACATAAAAGTGAGTGAATTGCCTTCAGCAAGTGCCCATACAAGTGAGAGGTGCTCTCAGAAAGCATACAAACAAATGACCCAGGAACAAGAGGAGAAACACAAAAGAGACACACACAATTGATAACACAAGAAACAAAGATAAAACCAGCATTAATGGAAGAAGATGTAAAGGTACAAAAACTGAAATAAATCATTAAGTGCCAGTAAAGTCTGAATGCAGTTAAAATATAAGAGAACCATAAATGGGGTGTTTATTTCCTTAATGATCACAGATGTTTCCATAGGTGACAAAGGCCAGTCAGTTTATGCAGTAGTGTGTTATAATATTTGAATTCAAATAAATTATTGTTTGCCTCACTTTTAAAGAGATGTTGCATGACAGCCTTTATGACATTTCTCCATGATTTATGTGCAATTTTAGTTGTCCATACATCTTAATTAAGATCTTAACATCTTAATTAAAATAGGAGTATAATTATAAGATATATTATTTATTTAAAAAAATTCATTATGTAGGTGAACTACATTAACTGACAATGTAATCTGTGTACAGTATTTTATTTAAGTAAAATATATATCGAGTCAATTATATTAGTTGCGTGAGAGAAATACAGATGCCATATATTATTTGATTATCATAGAGAAACACCATGATGAGAACGGAAATTACTTGTACATGATATTTTGCATCTAAACCCCTGTATGCAAAATGCCATCTACAGATAGTCTCTTGACTTAGCAATTCTTAATGTCAGAATGCTGTGCTCTTTGCACCCAATTACTAGTTTAAATATATACTGAACATTTTTTTGTGAGTGAAATTTATCATTTGTGTGAGTACAATATATTAGTCGTGCGAGTAATAATACACAGTATTACTTGTGTGAGTGAAACGTATTATTTGCATAAGTGAAATACCCAAGAACTTAATGGCAAACTTCTAACAAGACAAACCTGATTTATTAGTGTAAGGGTACTCTGTAAAATCCTCAACATCTGTGGTGGTAAGCTCTGTTGTGCCTGTAGTGGCAGCATCTGTTGTTGTGCCCCAATATGCAAAGAAGTCTAAGACCTCTGTTGTATTTGTCAAATCATCAAAATGTGCTGTTACTAAGGTAATATTTGGTTCTGTCATATAAAAAAAAGGAAGACAATGTGAAAAGCAGACCTTGGAGGTATAGATGAAGATTGCAAATGTCAAGCACAGAAACAATACCATTTAGAGATTCTAACTCAGTGTGACTGAAATAGAAGTAGTATACAACACTTTTAATCACAATTTAAGTCTCTTGAGAACAAAGAAAAAATGAAAGAGCATTTGCAATAGGCTACACGCAACAGCGATGAATATACAAATGTTTATTAATAGCAATCAGATGACATTTTAGCATCATTGGAACGTTTACATTCAGAGTACTGATGACACTAAAATGCATCATTGGAATGTGAAAATGTTAACATTGGCTACAAGAATTTTTGTTCAGGCTCTTTAATATATTATCTTACAAAATGGATTACTGGAAAAAAAGAAAATAGTTCTTGGCACATTGTGTTAGAAAGAATCACTGAAGAAATGTTCTAAAGAACATTTAATTAAGGACCGAAACATTAAAATTCATCCATTTAATGATCACCAAAGCATACTGTTGGGAAAGATTTCAGTCAGCATGCACTTTTTATCATTTGTTTTAAGTTATCCTTTTAATACTTAACACTGGCTTACACTTAAATCAACCCCCTATAAATTATCTCAACAACTGATCTCCCTCTTTACCACTAACACCATTCTTGTGGTCGTAATTAAATCCCTTCTTAATTTCATACATTGGTACAATCATTTCACATTATTGGTACACTACTACACAAAACTTTCTTCTATTAAAATTCTTACAATGCACATGCATTTGTACTCCTTTCAAGAAAGTGACATTTCTACAATTTCATTTATTTCTGAGCTCCTTTGAGTCAGTGGCCTATACAGGCCCACACAGATACATTCCATCTGCCATGCTCTAATAATGTGTTCAACCACCATGATCAGTAACATTTCCGATAGTCTGGGCACATACTGCAATGTTGTTGGGGAAAACAGTGGTGAATCAAACGTGAGACATCACCATGAATGTAACCCACTATCATACATAATAACCAACTACAGAATATCTCTCTTCCAAAACTTTGGTTAAATCAAATAACTCCAATTATCACTCAGCTATCTACAAGCTCAGCAATTGGCCCTTACTCCAATCATCATCAGGCAGCAGTAGTGGCAGCACAACAGGGTTAGAGGATTGTAGCAATCACAAATAACATGTTGTACATTGAAAAAACAAAACAAATGTAAGGTTCCATATGCTGGATATAACTTAATAATACAATTATGAAAAAAAATGAAAATTACAAAATATATTGTATCTACAACAGGTTTTTGTTTGCTTACCTGCATCAGTATGGGCTGTGCACTGCCACGATCTACAGCAAGTCTCTCCAGGAAGGGTAATGAGGACAGCATTTTGGGGCTCACAGTTGAGCTCAGGTGGTGGGATAGCGGGCACGGGGTCACAAAGGTCACGGCATGTTACATTGCCATAATTACAGGTGCATACTTGTGAGCATCCAGTCAGTTCTCTTGGGATTTGATCATAATTGTTGAACATCTGACCCATATAATGGCATGCCGAGGATGAGATGCATTTCACTTGAGCACAACATCTGGATAGGACAATAAGGGTTGTAAGTTAGAAAAATATTGCATAGTAAATAGGACAAGGCTATTCCTGTACTAACCCAATTATTTTAAATGTATCATAGAAGTGCTAGGAATAAAACTTACAGTGGTGTCTATCTCACTAAAGAAACCCAGTCAAACAGAAAATTGAATGCTCCGACAGGATTATGATCCGATTAGTATCGGATGCAACAGATTAGTGTCTGTAATACTGTATCCCAATTTTTTTTAATTTGCAATACTTATTACTATAAAAGATTCAACAAAGTTATATTTTAAAATTTAAAATATGGCTACATTTTCCATGTGATTTCAGAATCAAAATTAAATACTGTATCTAAATCTTTAGATGTATATATATATATATATACTATAAACAAATTTGTTTAACTTCCTCTGCCCTGATGACACTGCATTAATCAAAACTACCTCAGACATCCACCCAGCACAAATCAACAATTAGAACAATAACAAACTCCAACCCTAAACAGCATGCAGCACCTGCATTTAAATCCTTTAACATGCTAAATATAAAATCACCACACACATTTTCAAGTGCACTTTATATCTTCATACCTCTCAAAGTATGAAGATATAAAGTGCACTCTTGACCTCAGATGCTCCTGAAAGGGTTGCAACAGAACCCTCAGACATCACACATGAAACAAGAATATATCTGATGTCCCAAAAATCTGACTCAATCAAAACAAAAATACCACCTATATAAAGTGTTTTAAATTGTGGAATGAGCTCCCAAATGCAATAAAATTATGTACTGCTCTAACAATTTAAGAGAGAAACGAATTTACCTATTTGACATTATAAAATAATTTCTATATTTATTTACTACAGTATAACAAATAGCATAAATCTCACTTAAGAGCCTTCATTCTAAATAAGTAAATTATGTTTGCTATTATTTTTATATTAAAATATTGCAAATGTACTATTGTAAGAATTTCTATTTAAAACCAATATTCGTCACCAAAGCTACAGAATTTAATACATAACATAATATTAAATTCTGGCCGAATTACTGACCCCACCCAGGATGCAACCCCCACAAGAAGCTGACTAACTCTTAAGTACCTACTCACTGCTAAGTGAACAGAGACATTAGGTGAAAGGAAATGTGCCCAACCATTTCTGTCCCGCATGGAATTCGAACCCGGAATTCTCGATTGTGCATCAAGAACGAACCCGTCTGTACTACCGGGATCCCAATAACCCACCATTCATATCCTAATTAACTCTACTCTCTTCTACTAATATCCTATATACTGTACTAATGTTATTAACAAAATCTTGAACTCAATTGACTATGAATAATTTATTATTACGTTTGAGTACAGTATTTGCAGTTACATACATGCTAATTATTAACCTCATATTCCACTGCAGTCAGTTCACAACCGCAAGGTCTTGGGTTCTATTCATCCTTAGGGTGAAGACATTTTGGTACGTTTCCATACACCTGATATCTCTGTTCACATAACAGTAAATAGCTACCCCACAGTTAGTCAACTGTTGTGGGTTGTATCCTGGGAAAGGTCAGCCACTGACCTAAGAAAGGAAAGGAGGGAGGGGGGGGGCTCCATAAGACCCAAACAATGGGAAACAAATTCTCTGGAAATGTCCTTATAGTATATTAAAATACCATATTCGTAGCTTTCAACTTTATTACATAAACATAAATGTTTATTAACTATAAGCCCTATTTATTTGTTAATTTTAGGATTTGCACACGAGTTAGCTGTAAGATTTTCCCAAAATCCTATGGTAATTAGCAACCTAATAATTATTGTTAATACTGTGCAACATAATATAGCCAATACCTATAATAATAATATTGTTTATATATAAATAATAACAGTAAGTAAATGATAGGAGACTTACTTTGGTGGTGTAGGAACATAATCAGGATCAAGATCCCACTCAAGACAGTTAGGATCAATAAGCTCCAGACCAAAGGTAACAGGGCACTCTATGGCAGCACAGTGAACATCCAGCCTTTCTGTGCACATGCACGACTGGGAACATCCTTCATAGAAGTCTTCCCCTGGCTTGTAATAGCGTCCATTACGAGAACACATCGCTGACGTATCAAAGCCCACACCATCTAATTTTGTAAAAAGTATCATTAGATCTCTAACAATGTTATTAAGAAGCGTCACTTTGCATGTTTAAAAGTTCCTCCGAGCACAAAAATTCCTTACAAATATTTCCATTATTTCATTGCAATATTTATGCACGAGTACCATCACCTACCTTTTATCATCACACATGCAACACCCACACATCAAATAAAATGGTCATGACAATTATAATTAATAATGCAGGGTTATATAAATAATAATTGCATAGTAAGAACGGTAAATAATATACACATATACAATCAGCTAGATTGTATATATCTATAAACCATAAACATCATCCTTTGATATTAAATATAGATGAATATTTATATTATATACCAAATAAATTATTTACTGCTTTCTGCTGAAAGGCAATTATTGGATATGGCAAAGTTAGTTTTAAGGGATAACTGAAATTATTGGAAAAAAATTCAATGAACAATTATCGACTGTTGAAAAATAAGCAACATGACAATAAGAAAATCTCGATACAAGACATATCTGAACATAATAAAATCACAACTGTTTAAAAGATGATACAGTATAACCTCAGTAAAAACATGCAAATTATACCAGATCAAGCTACATATATATACACTCATATTACAAGACAAATCAAGGAGTGTCAACCTTATTAGCCGGTGATGACAACATACAGTACTATCCCACATGCATGTCAACAAGGAAATTAATACTGATACACTATCATTATTGTTAGTAGTAGCATAACACTGCTATTATTTTAGAGCTAAGACTAGTAATCTGTGCAATAATAATCAGCTGGAAAAAAGCAGCATAACAGACACATCAAGCATACATATAAAAGCAACACATCCCACTAATCCTGTTTACATCCTTGCTTAATTTGCCGAAAATGCTTCAGGCAAAAGGTCCCGTGTGATCCTGCATTCCATCACTCTTGCAACCATTGTAATGTACTGTATATTCTCTTGTGTTTCCTCCATGAAGGTTATTTCCCTGTATTTTTTAATTTTTTGTCTGTGTGGAACCTAAACCTTATTGAAACTACAATTTGAATTAAGTGCACAATTTGCTGGCTTGGCTACTAGTATTTACCAGACATAAGTAGCCCATGATAAAACTATCCTCACCAAAGCTTGAATAAAAGCATTTCTAAGTGTTCCCTGTCCATAGCCCAAACATTTTTTCTACATCTGAATACCTTTAATATGACCATGAAAGTCAGTCTTGTTGTTGAGAGGAGCAGAAAGATCTGCAGCAGTAACAGAAGAGTCTTCACTTGCAGGAAGATGAGGAAGGTCTTCAGTGGTAGATGGTAAATTGAAATCTTGTCTTTGTTCTTTCGACTGATTAGCACGAGTTTTATTTTCTTTAGAGATATGAGAATCTTCAATATGCTCATTAGTAAAATCTGAATTTAAGATGTGCTCATTGAGTATGAAATGGCTCTCTTTATTATCCTTAGGTAAATGTGAGTCTTCTTCATTTTCATGAGTCAAATGGGTATGATGCTCATGTGAAAAAGATGTGCGTCCTATACTTTCACCAGGTACAGTTGACCCTTCTCTATCCTCAATAGGTAGATGAGAATTATCTTCATAATCAATAAATAAATCATCAGTGTTTCTGTTATGCTCATTAGAGAGGTGATCAGAAGCATTCAGTATGATAATGCTACTCTGTGAAATTTCAGTATTTGTAGGAGGTAGAATTTCAGCAATACTTTCATCAGTAGAAGAATCCACAGAATGATTTGCAGGATACAAAACTAAATGTTCATCAAATCCTATGGAATGTGGTGGCTCTTTATCTGAAGATGATCCAACTTCATTTTCCTTAACACTTGTGGGTAAGTGCAATGGCGTTTCTTCTTCATCATTATTATTGTTAAATAAAACTGTGCCATTTTCATCAAGAAGTAAAAATGAACTGTTTGAGATGTCTTCTACATTGGCACCATGTAAATGAGAAGTTTCACCATCCTCAGTGTCTGAAAGAGATTCAAATTCTGTTTCCCATGTTGGAAGAGAAGTAGATATTTCTCTAGTACTGTTACTTGCTTCACTACTTTTCTGATCTGCAGCTATTACCGAGCTATTATCTTGAGATGTAATTAGTTTATTTAAACTGTTAGACAAACTTGAAGTATCTTTAGTCATACTTCCCCTGATTTCAGAGTTTCCAGTCTGCCTGAGAGATGAACCTGTTGATGTATTATGAGGGATATTTCCAAGCTGCTTATGCTTGTTGAGCAAATCATTTAAAGAAATGAAAGGTTTCAGTGGTCTCTCAGATGCAGCATGTTCCTCAGGGACAAGTGTGTTCCTGGTTAGGTGAGAATTCTCTGTAAGATTAACATATTTAACACTGGATTCAGTGGTCAATTTAACATTTGCAACTTTGTTTGGGATTAATTCAGATGCATTATCTGATTTCTGGTTTCCATCAAATGGTTTACTCATTATCAAGATATTTTCATGCTCATTAACATTTTGTTGCTGATTTTTGTTGGTCATATCCTTATGATCAAAATTTAAAAGAGGATTATGTGTAACATCCTCAGATTTAGTTAGTACATTGTGGTTGAATGAATCAAAATGACAATCTGGCACAGTACAACACGGGTCATCAGGGCTTGGCACTAGAGTACAACTGGTATTGAAGTGCTGTGGTATTGCAACATGAGGACATCGAGGCTTGCAGAATGCTTGACCATCAGCTTGACAAGTACACTGACGACCACACACTGTTTCTTCCATGAACTGCATGCCAGGAAGACACCCCATATGGGATGGAGCCAGTTCAGCTTTACCTATAACAGACCACACGATACTGGGATCTATTATATGGAAAATATTAGTTCCATTTTTGACAATATTTACCAGTCAAAGGTGTAAAATAAAATCTACAAGAAAACACAGCTGAACATTATACCCAGGGTCTCTAAATAATTAGGCTTAAAATACTGATCATCTCTTAATATTAACTTTAATATACATTTCTCTAAGAAGTGTACAGTGCAAATTAATACAGCTTACACAACAAATCACTTATATAATGAGATTAGTGGGGTTATTGCAGTACTGTACTTCATAATCCTCATATTTTCCTCTAGCCAATATACTGTATGTATTATCTTATCCAGTCGGAGATTACAAACTCCAAGGTAACATACGCTGTGTCGACATAACAATGACATTCTTGCACTCTTATTATCCATTTTTACAAAGGAGTTCCATGCAGCCAACTCTATACAGGTGCAAGGGGTAAATACCATGATTATAAAATACGATATTAACTCCACCAAACTTTAGCTCCTTGAATATTTATTAATATTAGGGAACATAATTGCATAATCCATTGCCAGATATCTTTACCTAATATTATCACTACCATACCTAACCCCACCCTCCTCTCCACATCACCTCACATAAGTTTTGTATATATTAACAACAAGTGGTGCATATATTACATTAATCCGAGGATAACATGTATTAACTTTGGAAAATTCCTCTATAATTTATCTGAATACAGCATAAACAAAATTAATAAGAAGTGCTGATAAAATTAGAAAAAATTAGTCTTCGATTGATTCAGTTGCTTCTTATGGTAAGGATCTAATTGATCAAATGACCAGGATCATGTCAGTAAGACGGATGATATTCTGGCCCCATTACAACAGAAAACTTTTCAAATGTCCCGCCAAGGTCATTGAAGGTGTTTGGAGGTCATATCTTCTTGAGGTTATCTTGAGATGATTTCGGGCTTTTTAGTGTCCCCGCGGCCCGGTCCTCAACCAGGCCTCCACCCCCAGGAAGCAGCCCGTGACAGCTGACTAACACCCAGGTACCTATTTTACTGCTAGGTAACAGGGGCATAGGGTGAAAGAAACTCTGCCCAGTGTTTCTCGCCAGCGCCTAGGATCGAACCCAGGACCACAAGATCACAAGTCCAGCGTGCTGTCCGCTCGGCCGACCGGCTCCCTCAATGGAGAACTCAATCATGCTTAAAATGATCAAACAAGCTATCATTTATAATAACTCAAGCCTTTTGAACCCTTTTTTGTTTTTCAGGTGACTGCCAAGAGAAGGCTCTAACTTAAATCTTTTTGTAACTGAATTATCACTGCAAAATTTCAATAAATACCTTAATTAATTTGTTTACTTATTACCTGGCCAACTAATGCATTAGTGGCTTTGCAAGAATGTACCATTTACACATTAAATTATTAAAAAACATTGTACTCAATAAATATTTAAATAAATATATATATATATATAAATAATTGTCCCACTGTGCAGGGAGGCAAGAATGGAACAGTAGATGGGGAATTTCCCTTACAATAAACTCATTATTTTTGCATGACTCAGGTTATGTGAACCAAAGAACGTTCAAGAGCATCGTACATTATTGTAAGTTCAGCATTTATTTTTGCAAGAAATACAAGATTGCATTCAAAAGTATTACATCATGCAAAGAATATGGTTGTTTATTTTAGAGAGAGATATTTGAGCAACATGCATTAATATATATATATATACATAAAATATATATGTAACTGACCCTTAAAAATGTAGATTATATCATTACAAATGCAATCCAAGTTGGCACACACTCACCTGCACTTTCCCACCCTCTCTTTCACTTCTTTAACTAAAATTTTTATTGTTTACAAAACCCTATTATTTTCTTTGTAAATAATATAAACTTTTATGGTGGTCCATATTATCATACTACTTTAGTCTTATTTAAACTTCATCCGTCACTGTCGCCTTTTCTCTTTCGTAGCTCCACTGAGGAAGGGAAACAATCATAGAGACGTGACCAGTTCATGATTGGAATGTGCGAAGAAGTCACCAAGTGGTGCAGACAAGCTTCACTCTCTACCATCCTCACAGTCTTTATCCACTACATATCAACTTATTTGTTACCAAATTTATTACCACCCACATTCCACACACTACCACTACCACATGCACACCTACCCACAGTCGGTTTTAATTCGAGTAAAATTTCAGTCTCGTTAAAGTATTCAGATACTGTAATGCACAACTTTATCATGACTAGGAATATAACCCTATTTTCCCATACAGTATTCAAGTTATATTTTGTATTATTAGATAACACACCCTTTTCCAGGAATATAACTGCCACATTAAATAAGGGTCACTTTTATATACATATTATATATATATTTATCATGCATTCAATGCTGCAGGTTCATAGGTATAAAGTCTTCCATGCACTACTAAACAAGCAACAAATGTTATGAACTCACCTAGTTCAGCAGCGCCATCCATGAGTCTTGCCTTTGAAGTGGAACTGACAAAGTCTTGGAATGCTACGCGGAACTGGTAGGGTGTAGATGGCTGGAGGTCATTTAGGTACAAGATAATTTCGTTGAAGTTCTCCACTTTTGCATCACTCACAGATATATTTCTCTCTGACCACGTGAGGGAGTCTGGACTGTAGAGGATCATAAATTTCTGATCTTCTGATGAAAGGACCTGATCCATAACAGAGTCCGAGACAGCTACTTTAATCATGACTGTGGTAGAATTAATTGCCATCACCTCTAGTATATTAAGGTCGTGTGACCCTAGGTCTTCAGCTCTGTTTTTCTTCTCGAGTATGTTGACATGGGTGTGGTTGTGTGGATCCACCATTACACCATCATGCTTATGAGGATGACCGTGAGTTACACCATCTTCATGAGTATGAATTTCTTTGTGAACTTCATCCATATCACTCATATTAGTATGGCTATGATTTACACCCATATCTTGATCATGAGGGTGAGTGTGGAAAACACCATTCTCATGCATGTGAGTGAAGTTGTTGCCTTCAGTCATTGTGTGTTCAAAAGTGTCGGTCTTATTCATATCTTCATGAGGATGGCTGTGAGTTGTACCATCCTCATGTGTGTGTTCATGAGCATGGGTAACATTTGTGGTGTTATCATGAGTGTGATCCATGCTATGATCGTGAGGATGGCTGTGTGTGGTACCATCCTCATGTGTGTGTTCATGATCATGGATAACATTTGTGGTATTATCATGAGTGTGATCATGAGGATGACTGTGAGTTGTACCATCCTCATGTGTGTGTTCATGAGCATGGGTAACATTTGTGGCATTATCATGAGTGTGATCCATGCTATGATCATGAGGATGACTGTGAGTGGTACCATCCTCATGTGTGTGTTCATGAGCGTGGGTAACATTTGTGGCATTATCATGAGTGTGATCCATGCTATGATCATGAGGATGGCTGTGTGTGGTACCATCCGCATGTGTGTGTTCATGAGTGTGGGTAACATTTGTATCATTATCATGAGTGTGATCATGAGGATGTGTGTGTTCATGAGTGTCATTCATGTCATGCACATGATCATGCAAATTATCCATGTTGTGCTCATGAGGGTGCGTATGCGTTACACCATTTTCGTGAGTATGAGTATGGTTGTGCGTTCCATTAAAAATACCATGATTTATAATTTGGTGTTCATCGACGACAATGTCTTCATCGTTGGTACGGCTTTCTACCTGACCAATCTGGTGAGAACTGGTGTGATTGTGGGTTTCATTCTCACTATGTTCGTGGGGATGGCTGTGTGTTACCCCATCTTCATGGGTGTGTTCATGGCCATGGGAGGCAGTCACGTTATCAGCCGAGTGATTTTGTACCAGAATATTTTCATCAGACACAGAAGTGGTTAGCATATCACCTTCAGGTACCATTGTAGCATTTTCACTTTGTGGCTCCTGCATGTCAGTCAGATTCTTCATCATGATATTCTCTTCTTCTGTAATATTCATCATTTGTCTCATCATCATTATCTTTTCAGCTGCTGTCATATTCATCATTTCCTTCATCATCATCTCCTTTTCAATTTCAGTCATGTTCTTCATCATTTCTTTTTCCAGTTCTAATAAAAAAATCAAAATTATAAATAAGTATAAGACTAAGGTACTTATGGTCTTTAAAAATTACATTATATTAATGTAAATGCATTTTAAATTGTACAGTATTTTTTTTGGGAGGGGAGGGGGGAGGAGGGAGGAAAGAGAAAGCATGAGGTGGGGGACTGCATTATGTATCCACTTATCAACAACATCAAACTAACAAATTATAATAAGCACCATCATATCATTTCTGACTGCATATCAAACTTTACTTTATATACATTACTCGTTTTCTTATTTATTTTCTACAATTACCTGGGTTTTGTATCTTTACCTGTAATATTGGCCTTCATGACATCAGGAGTTGGCTCGTCACACACGGTGATGGAGCAGCAGGGATCCAGAGGGTCTGGCAAAGTTTCACAACGCTTTGGTGTTTCGGATACAACCTTCAACGGTGGACACCTAAAATAAATAAATAAATAAATAAATAAATAAATAAATAAATAAATAAATAATATAATTAATTAATTAATAAAATATATAAATATATGTAGGCTACAATAAATATATGTAGGCTACCATAAATATATTATAGGCTTATGTACATAATGAAGCAGCATAAACCCCCTCCTTCCTTTCATATACCCTATCATATCTCAATGCAATTGAGAGGAAACTACTTCAGTGTGCATTAATGACTATATTTACCTGAATTTACCCAAGGGCTACCATCTTTAGTGGTCTCAACATGGACAGAAATCTGGTAGCTTGTTAAAGGTCTTGAGACTATTCCTGAGAAATATTCTCCCCAATATTCCTGAGAATTTGATCTAGCTCCATTTTAAACTGAATTATTGTCTTGGCATTTATGTCTTCAGCAGGCAAGTGCTTCCACTGGTTTATTACCCAATAGTGGTTCAAAGACAAACGCTCAGGATATACTGAGGATCTTCTCCAGTGCCACCAACGTTCACCAACATATGATGCAATACTTGACGAGTCTAGTTCCAACTCACAAGACTTTACATCCTTGCTACAGAGCAAACAGCTTATTCCGGAAATACTCGAGCTACCCACACTCAAGGTCTCTATCCCCAACCCAGCTCAAGGTCTCTACCCCCAACCCAGCTCAAGGTCTCTACCCCCAACCCAGCTCAAGGTCTCTACCCCCAACCCAGCTCAAGGTCTCTACCCCCAACCCAGCTCAAGGTCTCTACCCCCAACCCAGCTCAAGGTCTCTACCCCCAACCCAGCTCAAGGTCTCTACCCCCAACCCAGCTCAAGGTCTCTACCCCCAACCCAGCTCAAGGTCTCTACCCCCAACCCAGCCCAAGGTACCTTCCCCCAACCCAGCTCAAAGACTCCACCCCCAACCCAGCTCAAAGTCTCTACCCCCAACCCAGCCCAAGGTATCTACCCCCAACCTAGGTCAAGGTCTCTGCTCTCGGTTCCAAGGCATCCTCGTCTCAATCTATCGCAACATGTCATTACATTTCTAACATCCAACTGCTGTAACCATGACTATATATAAATATCAATAACTACAATACTATTTGAATGATGTCACCCAAAATTGTATACATTGCAAGTGAATTATAAAAAAGTGCCAGACATATCTCCCAAAAATTACACTGAAACTTTAATGCCTATAAAGACTATTGATACTATTATCTTTTGAAAATTTCACAATGTTTATATATTTGTTCTATTTTGAGAACCTTTTTTTACTAGGTCCTAAATCTAAAAAATAAGTCTAGATTAAAATTAAATATAAAAATTTAGATTAAATCTAAAAATCTATAGCAAAGATTTAAATAGCAAAGCTAAATCATGTATCTAAGCATGTAATATAATTAGTGTATATTTTTCTTTATAAATATTATTATTATTAGGTATTCTAATTATTATTATTATGGTTATTATTGTAACTGATTATACAGTCTTGTGGGGTCTCATGCAAAGCATTCCAGTATAAAATTGGGAGTCTATTGTACTGTATGACCACTGTTGGGTTTTGGACCAATGACCTATCATAATGTCCTTGTATCTAAAGATGTCAATAGAAATCTTACCTTGGGAAGCAGGAGACATCACCAAAGCCCATACATATGCACTGAGTTTCACAACCATTGTAGAATTTCTCATTTTTGGCATAAGTAATATTGCCATCTGTACAGCCATCCGATGGTAAGGATGGGGCTCGGGTAGCATCACCAACAGCATTTGATGTAGAATTACAAGTACGCAATTTGCAGCATGAATCTTGTGGGTCTGGGAGATATTTACATCCAGGCTCAGGTTCTGAGCTGTTCTCCATTGGAAACTCACACCGAGGCTGCAAAATTAAGCATGTAGATATGATAATAACTTTTAATTTTAAAAATTAATAAAACCCAAGCAATACAAGCAGTTTTAAAATTTTAAAACTTTTAAAGAAGCAGATTTTTTTCTGTTTTTTATTACCAAAATATCTCTACAGAATTACTACCGTTTGATACATAAATGCATATGATGATCTGTCCTTATCCTCTATCCTCCTCTTACTTGTACATGTCAGTGCAAAGATGCATGATTATTTGAACACATGTGTCTTTTGTACTGATTCACACACATCTCTACTAATAAGCATAAATATATACAAATTCTAGGGAAAGGCAAGAATGAACTAACAGGCTATGACAAAGAATATCTAACCACACATTAAAAAAAAAGGCATTCAAAATCAAACCATGAGGCACTGTAAGCATGGTAGAAGAAGGATTAACAATTACAAAAATACAGTACACTCATTGTGATGTCAAAGAAGGAAGTAAATGCCTAGTATACCTGGATGTCTTAAAAAAAAAAAAAAGCACTGGGAAAAGATAAAATTTCTCTTTGATTACTAAAGGAAATGGTGGGAATACTGTGGTACACAGTAAGAAGAGTATATACTATATAGGTCTTTAGAGGCAGGATGAGATTTCTGTAATATGAAAAATGGCAAACAATTATACCGATATTCTATAAAGGATACAGTGGTCTTACTAGTGATCAACCTATAAAACGCTTTAAAAAATCAACTTTTCTCATCACTTTTCTTTATCCTTACCTGACATTCTATCTCACTGTTGTTGCTGCAAGAACAGCGGTAATCACAATTGTCATAGAAAATATCACCTAGCCGGTAAGTGCTGTTCTTAAAGGTGCAACTTCCTTCCTTGTGTCCAGCAGAGGGATCTGTTTGAATGGTAATAATAAATGCTTTAAATATATAGATTACAACTATTATCTATAAAGAATTTAAAGGTTTGAATATAAATATATTGTATGTGAATACAGGTATTCCGTCTCATTTCCAAGCCTAAGTTTCGATCAGGATCTCATAACTTGGGAATATTTTACATGTACAGTTTCACTCTTTTTAAATACAAACACAGGGTTTAAAATTAAATTATTAAATTACTTCAGAACGTAAACTAGAGGTTTATTAATCTTTGAGATAAGTGCTTTGTGGCTTCAATAAACAAGAAGGAAGTGTGATCTGTGTATCACCGGTTGATGTGTATACGAGATCTCAAGATCCCTAGCAGAACCAGTATCACCCCAGTTCCAGCACAAACTAGCCAGGAACAAGACCCCCTCTGATGAAACTTGTCCCAGCTATTTCACTAGACAGATTCTGCCACCGGTATGACAATAGTCTACAGTATCAACTCCCCTCTCTCCACATGAACTCTGCCTCCAGCTTAACCATATGGACTGAAGTGTCCTGGCACAAGCTCAATATACTCCAAATTGTAGTATGGTCCATGGGTTAAGGAGTATGTCTGGTAACCAAGGATGTTGGTTCGATCCACATACTGTTTCAATGATTTTCTCAAACATATATTGTTGGCATTATTGCATTCATGTCCTCCTGTCAAGGTATCTTAAAGAATCTACATCTCTGTGTGTACTTGAATCATCTACATTACAGTATTAACCCAAACTGAAAACACAGCCAGCCCCTGACAGAAAACTAATAATATGGTTATTCCTCTTCATAGCCTTCGATTACCTTGGCTCATCTTTGTGCTTTTTATCCTTGGACGATCCTACTGCCTTCTTATTGCCATAGGTGTGACTCCCACCATGGACATCTTGAGCTTCTCCATCAGACATATCTACAGGAACCTCTGCTCCCAGCTGCCCTGCCAACTCTCCATTGCTGCCAGAGCAGTGCAAGACTGATATTTAATTAAACTCCGAACAGTCCAGCGAATCTCCTGGACTAATCGCTGTCCGGGAGAGTCGGACGACATTAACCAGTTGCATTAACCAGTCCAACTAGCAACCATCATGTCTCTCCTTGTCACTCATTTCTCTGCACTGTGCCATGTCATCTCATAAGGTCTTTATGTATGAACCTGTCAACAGGACCTAGCTCCTCCGACCATCAACCCCGGAAGAATTGACATTTGTTTCTCACCTACTATATCACTTCCCATGGTCTCAATGCACAAAGCCCATTCACATGCTGGCTGCCTCTGGCACTGGATACAGCTACTCCACAAGTAACCCAAGAAGTGACAACTACATTCTTTATAGCTACACAAATCTCTCTTTCTGCCAGGGAGGAGGACTACTGAGGCAGCAAATCACCATCCAGTGCCAATAGCTAGTACCCCTATGTCCACACACTTCTCTGGACCAAGATATTTCTCCTCAACCATTTTTAGAAGCTAATTACACTGCTTCAATTTAAACAAGTTAACATACCAGGCATGCATCCAGTGACCAGGTCGGAGGCATCACCAGTAAAACCAGCAAGACAGCGGCAGTATCCAAGTGTGAGGTCACTGTCAACGTCACTGAGGCTTAGGTCCTTTGAGGCCATGATGCCCGAGATACACTCAGCATTGGGTCCACACACCACATTTGTGCACTGATTATAGGCTACAGAGAAAATTATAAAGTTACATTAAGAAATAAAGTACTGCACTATGTAAGACACATTTGAAAACAAGCCCTCATAAATGCAATCAAACAGAACACTTGTTCTGAATTTTCATAAAAGTGATGTATACGATATAGCTTTATACACTATTCCAATAACAAATTTTTAAAAATAAAATGCTATTAAAGCAAGTTTTTAAATATGTGATATCCAAATTATTTATAATTTTATTTATTTATTACAGTATTAGTTACTTATAATTCTAAGCTATAGCCCATTGATGCTTTCCGAGCCAAAAGTTATACTGTTCACCCACGACTCTTATAACCTGCCAGCAATGTCATAACCATACTACCGAGATATAGGTTTGAATGTGTTCAAACTTTCACACATACAGCAAACTGGCCACATTTGAGAATGGAAACAACCCTGAACTTAACAGGAAGATGCTGAAAGCAGAAGGAGCCGTCACAAGGGATCATAGGGCATATGGGGATGGACAAAATACCTGCTTTAACTCTGGAGGTGCAATGACAGTGGGAGAGTATGCAAGACTGGTAATCATGGGACTACCTATAAAATCGAAACAGGGAGTTTTTTTTTCAGAATAATATACTGCATAAGCTTAATTATACATGTTCTACAACATACAGCATTGGCATGGAATTCATACCTTGTGAACACGAAAATAACTTTTTGAAAGTTTAACAGTTTCGAACATGTCTAGTGTCTGAAATAAAGGAACAAAATTTTGAAGACACATCTCAAGCTAACAACCCAAGGAGAAAAAGACCAGAGGAGCGATTGCAACATACAAGATACTGAAGGGCTTGGATGAGGTGGAATGGCATTCCATTCCAGAAGTGGGAGAATAAAATGAAGGGAAATATGAGGATATTGGAAACACACAAAATCAGAGATGTAAGTATTCATATATAGAGTGAATAGCAAGTAAGTTGAATGTACTGGAGATGAAAGGCACCCCACATACACTGTTTTCAGAGCAAGTACAATAAAATGCTATTAAGCATCAAATGCCTAAAGTTTAAACTGTTTGAAGGCAGAGCCTAAAAGTCAGAGCTCCATTCCCTTTAGACAATGAAATATAAGCACTAATTTTTACTAATGAAACATTTTCACATAAACAAGTATACACTTATTTCACATACACAAGTAACGATGACAAAGACAAACTCTTTAGCACGGGTAGAACACGAACAAGGGACACAGGTGGAAACTTAGTAACCAGATGAGCCACAGAGACATTAGAAAGAATTTTTTCAGTGTCAGAGTAGTTAACAAATGGAATGCATTAAGTAGTGATGTGATGGAGGCTGACTCCATACACAGTTTCAAATGTAGATATGATAGAGCCCAATAGGCTCAGGAATCTGTACACCAGTTGATTCACAGTTGAGAGGCAGGACCAAAGAGCCAGAGCTCAACCCCCCGCAAACACAACTAGGCGAGTACAACTAGGTGAGTACTTACAAGTGACGGCAACAAATATGACAGAGAAGTAGAACATGAAGACATTTTACTGCAACAGGTAGAAATAGCTAGGCAGATCTCACTCCCTATGAACACTGATGGGTAAATCAGATAGGTAATCAAAGCACTTAATGTCATACATCATATTGGTACCTAGCAACTTAAATAATCTTTAACAAATCAATAACCGCTTCATATTTCACCTTCTCTCCTACCACTGGCACATCGGACAAGAACACAGCATTCATCCCTTTCGTCAGGTTGCTCACTGCACAGGGGATCACCTCTGAACGAGCCAGCCCTGAAAATATAAGATTTTTATTTCACAGTGTAAGCTAGGGTAACAATGACATATCAGTTTCACAATACTGTACTGTGTAATATGCATCACAATTTTTCTTATAAAAAATAATAGATATGCAGTATTGTATTATCATTACATCATTCTAAAACAAAACAATGTTAAATTAAAAAAAATTAGAAGAAACAGCTATTTGGCCCTGAAAACTGACAAAAATATTTCCAAACAGTCAAGAAAAATTATATGAATACCCTTCCCTTTCTTCCGAGACATATACAGTGTTGGTTTTTACTATATTAAGATGATTAATAAAGCCTGTATTATTTGTACCAAAATACAAGATAATGTACATAGCAAAATTATAGTAAGACAACATGAGAAAACCTATAATGCTGGCAAACTAACACACTTAAAATAGACTGCTCATCCAGGCTAGCATTAATAAGGAAAAATAATGATATTGTCTTGCATACAATAATGCTTGTATTCTTGAACCAAACTCAACAAAACTGACTGTGGTCTGTAATGCACTCTTTTTATGGCAAATAATCCTACACTCATAGCAAATTTTGCAATGCTTTACAGTAAACATTTTGCTTCTCATAATTTTCTTATTGTGTACCTAATGCCCCCAAGTTTATAAAAATATATACAAAAGAACATAGTAATTAACAGCATGATTAACTGTATTTCAAGTTAGGAAAGAACGATGGAATGATGAACAGCAATCACAATATATAAGGATAACTTGCATATGTTTTCTAGCTATACTGTGCAAGTATTTAAATGCCCATATAATGTAAATTCTGTAGATACATAATTACAATGTAATAGGAAACAAATTGAAGCACATTCTAAAATTCTCATGTGAATCTAATCCACAGATTCATAAACACAACCAAAACAATCTATGCATAAGCATTTTCTGACTGCTATGTTACAGTACAATTTCAAGAAGATTTGCATCTGATAGCCACATATACATTTCTTTATAGAACAGTAATACTATGTTATTATGACCTTTCAAGCTTCATAGATTGTACAAAACAAAAGGTACTGTAAAAAGAAATGTTAATTTAAAATAGTAAATTATGCAAATTTTTAAAATAAATTTGCTTGCATTTGCATACATAAAATCAGGCTCATACTTTGGTAATACTGTACTGTTAAATATTATGCACACTGGTCAAAGCTGTTAAAAGATGTGCAATGTAAAATAAAGAAAAAGACACTAACAATATCAACAAACAAGTCGAGACTTACCTAAGGTATGGTAGAGTGCAACGTTCAAAGCATCGTACAGCACCTGTAGCGGAACACATGCACCTTTCCTCACATCCATTATAAAATTCTCCAACAGGATAAGAGGCATTGCCATGCATGCATCCAGCTGCAAGAAACATCAGATATTTGAAGCACATTACATGCTTACATATATCAGCGAGTTGAAAGATATGTGCATAGAAGAAGATGGGAGAAGGGTCCCATGAGCTAGATCTTGCTTCCTATACACACATTATTCAAGTTAGGTAAGCACACACACGCACTAAATATGATGGAACATTTATACATGTTAATATCCTAGATATCACAACATACCTATATAAAAAAAATTAAATTGGAGTGTGATGTGATTGTAGTAATGTTTTTTTGGGGGGGAGCTACTGTATGAGGTGATTTTTGTTCTGTTATTGATAGATGGCTGCAAACATGGATCCAAACTTCTGTTTTAAAGGTCAGATATTTGGTCATGCATTACAGGATGTGAAAATGCAAAGCTATTTTTTTTAAACTACTGTACAGTACTATTTTTTCCATGATTATATAATTGCAAATTAATTCAGCAAAAAAAAAAAAAATTCTTATAAATTAATTTTTTAGTATGTCAATTATTGACAATAGTTGTTTACTAATTTACTCACCTTCTGTTCTGACATTAATTGTCTCGGTGGCCTCTCCCAAGCGACCTTCTTCGACATCATCATAGATAGAAACACGAACCTGTAGGAAGGGAAGTAATAAATGGTACAGTACAAGTAATTGCTTTATCAAATATATATGAGAAAGACTGTATATGAAGTCACATCTTGATATGGAAGCTCCTACAGGGAACCCTTGAGTCCAAGGATATAGAGGAACATCCCATTTAACATCCAAGATAAATTTTACCACATTATACAGTATGAAGATATGATTACTCCAAACCTGAAGTAGAGTAGAGCAGCGAGGGTTCAGGTCGTTTATAATTTAATATTTGGGCAAAATTAGGTCTCACAAGTAGACTAGTTTGATTTGTGCCATAGATTAGCTATATATCTTTACTAGATTCTCTATGACTTTTAAAGCCCCACATTGGTAAACCTTGGAGGTAGAAATAATGAAAAAATTGCATCTATATTTCCAAAAGTAATAAACAAGTTTAATTTAACACAAGAGTTAAATAATTATTTGTGTAGTATTAATCTGTTGTGTAATCCTGTGTTGGGTCAGATTTGACTAAAGTCATGTCATATTTTTAAGTCCTTGGTAGTAACCTGACACTGGATTATAGGCTCCTCCTCCATCGTTTACAAATGGTGCACTGCCATCTAGCTCCAGTGTGTGGTAGTGGTTAGTGGTATGTCTGTAACTTTAGTGATACTGTAATTGACTTTCATTGTGAATCTAGAATTTCACTTGCAAGGGACATTGAGTATTTTGTACATCAATTTTGTACATTGCTTTAAATCACTGCCAGCTGTCTCTCGGTAGAAGACAAGAATTTCTCCTCCATTTATGTGGCAAAATGATGAGTAAAGATAACTCATGTTGATAATGTCTGGCATGTTGAGGGACAACTCAAAAAATAGTACAGTACAGTATTTCAATACTGTACTCTAAATTCCTCTACTCTAAATACTCAATACTGTACTCTAGTACAATACTGTACTAGAGTACAGTATTTCAATACTGTACTCTAAATTCCTGTAAAAAAAAAAAAAGGCAGACTCAGGGAAATAAAGCTTACTTCATAAAGAGTGTTGGGTTTGAGCCCCTCCACTGTAAGTTTGGGTGGGAGTTCCCCAGTAGGGACCTCTTTCCTCATCCATGGCTGCTCTACTGTTGTGCCTGCCTCGGAGTTTCCACGTTCCTCACGGTATTCGGCCACATATCCACCTTCATACGTTCTCGCTCTGCATGAACATCACATTCACAAATGGATAAGTGGTTAAATATTCAGGTAAGGGAAATGTTTGTGCAATATTACTTTCTAAATATTTTGAATAGTTTCAAAGCTGAAGAAATATATCTGACAGGCCAACAAAACAAAGAATAATAGTGAAGCAAAAAAATATTTAGCCTACAGTATAAGAATTTCTACTGTTATCTAACTCTATGGCTAGAGATACCTGTTGGTCTCTTACAGCTGAAGCCAAAATGTAGTTATGTCTACTAAGGCCAAGGCTTCATTAACTTCTTCATTGACTATAAAAGCAAAGCCCAGAGACCTTCATATTTTTTAGGACCATCTTTGTCATTATATTTTGCTTCACATTATTTAAACAAAATATATTTTTTACAGGTTTATCTTAAGTTCAAATGTATTTTCAAACACGACACAAGTATACCGATTGTGCGTAATCATGAACAGGCCCCAATATCTTAGGAAAGAGAGTAAGAAAAACTGAAGAAGCATGGAGAGAGAGACCTGTTAGCAGGTCTCTCCACAGCCATAATCAGCACCTCAAAATAGTAAGTACAGTACTGACAAACTTAATATGCCACTAATGAAGGTGATGAATAACCAACAGGGCTCCAGTGCCAGACTCCAGCAAAATACAATCACTCAATCAATCAATATGCCACTGATAATGATGCTGGACATACCTGAAGTCATCCCAGGCAAGAGTAACCGAGTTGTGGGTCTTCTCAGTTACTAGCAACTTCGGTAACCTTGCATTTGCCTGAGCAGCTGATGCTGAGGACTCTGCCACATCACCTGCAGTAACACCTTGAATTATTCAGTAAAAAGAGAAAGAAAAGTTAGAATTATGCCATAAATCTCTATATCAATATGGTCTTTACAGAAATAAAATTATGAAATGGCACACTGATCCATTTATCTCTAACACTATAACTAATTAAATACAAAAATGTACAGAAGGTAAGAATTATGAAAGTCATGACAACTTTATACAAAGTAAGGGTACAAGAGAAAACACTTACAGTGAAGTTAATATAAAAGCTATATTATTATAAATATGTTAGGCTACTGTAATATATCTAATGATATAGAAAAATAACTGACGTGCTGATCTCATAGCCTTAAGATAAAGATTCTCAAGAGATCATTTTGAAACCATTAATAACAAGTGGGTAGAAAGGCCTAAGAATAAATAGGTAAATACTACAGCCACTCTCTTTATCAGAATGAAAAGGTAAAGCTAAATTAAAGTGGTAACATTCACCCAGCCCGTTCTCCAAAAATGGGGAGATAAATGCAACACCACAAGTAAGTGCAATTATGTACTATTCATAGCAGTCAGGAATTGTACTTATTTTCACTTAGTATTAAACCGTACTGTTAGATATACTGTAAATATTTGAGTTTACCTGAAAAGCTGAATAGAAAACCATGACCTAACCTAACTTTCTTAGTGTTTGAAGATAAGCATTTTAGTGCTTCTTAATTACAATTAGCACTTAACCTTTAGCTATATTGATATTACAGTTTTATAAAACTAATAAAATAAAATTAAAATATATCAATAAATTATAAAATAACTCAGGATATTTTAAATTTTTGTATAAAATCTCTATTGTTTAATAAAACGGAAAAAGAAATTTCTGATATTTAAAACTTGAGGATAGCAAATTGGACTTCAAAACTTCATCCTAAATTCTAAAGGTCTTAACAGAAAACAAGAATATCTGTGGAGGTAAATTTAATGGCCCCATAAGAGTACTGTCAATTCTGAAGAAGGGTTGCAGTCACCTTATTAATTAAAAATATTAAACATCCAATACAACCATAAAACATCTTTACAAATTTTATCTAAAGAAGAACAAAGAAATTCAGGTGTGTGTATCTTTGGAGCGGAAGAGAGGGTACAACTGACAAAATTTATTGAAGTTGATTTAATCCTATACACATACTTTATGAACATCACATGCACAATAAAATATAGAATTTTGTTGAAAATTATGTGAGTACAGTTGTTGGACATGCATTCGTACGTATTACAGAGGGACACACACGTAAGAGCGACATGTATCTCGATACATGTCGCTCTCTCGATACGTATACTGTTTATACAGTATAATCTTATCCACCCAGCATAGTTAGATAGAAAGGATAAAAAAAGAGGCTTATAAGAAGAAACCTTCAGTGTAACTTCTTTAACTTGGTCGGTTTCCTCGGGTCATCATCAGGAGAGACGACTACATTTCGGTCAATCGACTCGAGAAAGATGCAGGACGGACTGAAACGTCGTTGTCCCTTCACTTTCTAGTGTGTGGTTTGGTCAACATATTTCGGCCACGTTATTGTGACTCCTCGTCTCCATCAGAAGGCGAGTCATTGGGAGACAGTGAAAACGTGGTTGGTATCTCCTTGGAGTTTTATGTGCAGATGTCAAACTGCATCCAAAAAAAAAAAAATGCATCCGAAGTCTGCCAGTGCAGACCGCTTATCACATGCCTCTGTATGACTAACCATCCTGTGTGATGGGGATTTTTTAGCATCACCTAGTTAGCTTTTTTGACACACTGTACTCCACTTCATATAGTCTAGGGTAGCTGCACTAATGCAGATGTACCTAATATGTTAATAAAAAAAAAAAAAAAACCGAGACAACATTCCCCAATCCTGAGCACTCCAGGTGCAAAGTCTGTGAGCAGGAACTGGGGCATGATCTCCCACACCACATCACTAAATGCCCAGTTATTAGACCTTTCAGACCAGTTGGCATGAGGTACCTGGAGCTTTGCAATTACTTTATTCACTCTCGTATTCTTGAAGATATCCTCACAGTGTACCCAAAATTTGCAAGTGCAGGCTACTAAACATATGGCCCTGTATGACTAACCATCCTGCGAGATGGGGACTTTTATTACCACTGCTACCTTATTCACTCTTGTGTCGATGATATCCTAAAAATGCATCCGGAGTCTGTCAGTGCAGACTGCCTATCACATGCCTCTGTATGACTAACCATCCTGTGTGATGGGGATTTTTTTAGCATCACCTAGTTAGCTTTTTTGACACTGTACTCCACTTCATATAGTCTAGGGTAGCTGCACTAATGCAGATGTACCTCGTGTATTAATTAAAAAAAAAAAACGAGCCTGTAAAATCAACTTAATCACCTTGAGTGGTTAAGGGCTTAATAACACACTTGTTTCTATATCAGCTATCTTACCCTGTCGGAGTAGGAGACACAAATGCGTGTGTATGTGTGATATATATAATTAAAAGGAGGAATTTTTGAAACCGGCAACTTTAACACAAGATGTCGGAAAAACACACCAAAGTTCTCTTTTGCGAACATAGTTGTGAACGCTTAGAACAATTTGGCGGTGGTGGTGGCGGATGCCTAAACCATCAGCAGTTTGAAGCGTCACGTGACAAACACATTAATGAACAGACAGGACACCAAGAGTGTATAGCTCTCATCCTGAAACTATACTCGGATAATTGCACACACACACACACACACACACACACACACACACACACACACACACACACACACACACACACACACACACACACACACACACACACACAGCAAAAAGCCGCAGGGGCCAGACTTTATATCACCATGGCAGCTGGAGGCTGCAGAGGTACTCCGTTACCTCCTTACTAAAATTAGTAATAAAACATTCGAAGGGAAGGGAATTGTCAGGGGGAAAGTGCCAAGCCATTACGACTATATAGCAACTGAAACTGGAGGTCTTCCTCGAGCCTCGAAAAAGGCAGACGCATTACCGGTATTAAAAAAGGGAACAGCAGAAATTTTTTGGCAAATTGTCATGGAATGTTAATGGTTTAAGAAACAGGGTTACAGATGTTCATTGTTATGTGATGGGGGAATGATATTGATGTTGTAGCTCTCCAGGACACAGGGGATAGTAATGAAGGCTTATTGAAATTAAATGGCTATAAAGGGTTTCACCTCTTCGCCGCAAATAACATCACAGGGACGTCGATTTATGTTAAGAACGCCATACCAGCAGAGTTAGTAGAAGCGCCGTCAAAATTGCTGGAGAAGGTTATGAGTAATGAGTCCACATTTAGCCTACATAATCGAGGTATGTATGTGTGTGTGTGCTGGAAAAGAAGAGTGGAGCAGCAGGCGCGTCCAGCTGTTACTTCACCACAATATACTTGCAGTTTTACTGAACGGTCCCAAAACACAAATATGATGGAAAATTATGATTACATCTTACCTAAATCAAGATACTTTTAATTTTCACACCAAATGGCAACCACCGAGAATAAAAATAATCCAAATGGTCGTGTTTCTACTTCACAACAACCTTGTGTAACCTTCAGATATGCGCAACTTCCGTCGCTGTCTAAATTTGCTATAAATGTGTTCTTATAAAAGCTGGAAGATGTTTTGGCCACTTAAACATAATGTTGCCCAATTTAACACCACAATCGACCCCGGTGAAATCAACAATTCTGGCAGAAATGTCATGAACAAATTTGAGTCAGACTCACCTGCGTTCATACGCGTTGCCCTTGAAAATATTCCACAACAGAGCAACAGTTGACCGGATGAAGCTAAATATATATAGCTTGATGTCTTTCATAACAATCACGTGTGTGCCAGCCGGCGAGGGAAGGAGCTGGGGGGCAGCAGTCACATATGACCTCAGGGCAGGTGTTGCTGGGCTTGGTATGGGGGTGGCCGGGGGTATAGGTTGGCAGCTGAGATTCACGAAGCAGTTACGCAAATAAGTAATTATCAAAAGAAGGCACCAAACCGGGAAGGCTATGTAGCACCATCAAATGTGCGGAATAATCAGAGGGCGCTAAATATCACCAAGGATGCCAAAGCAGTTAAGCAAGTACTTACGAACGTGTGCATCTTTCCTCAATCTTTGACGGCTTTGTTTACATTTATTATACAGTTTACAAGCGTGAAAACTTCCCAATCAACTGTTGTTATTGTTATAAATAGCCTCCTGGTGCTTCGGAGCTCATTAACTGTTTAATAAGTGTAAACAAAGCCACCAAATATTGAGAAAAGATGTACAGGTTCGGAAGTGCTTGTGTAACTGCTTCGTGAATCTGGCCCAAGGTTTTTTAGAACATTGGATATTGTGCAACATGATATTTTGGGTTTTAACATGTTGGTTCGCCAAATACTTAGTCCTACGAACGTGTGCGTTCGTGCTTTGGAGGTGAATGGCAAACGGAAATGTCCTATATTGCTTATCAGTGTGTATTCTATTGACCCAGTTCTTTCCGTCTCAAACTTGATTACGCTTTACCCCCGACTTCCCCTTGCCAGTTCACTTGTTATATTGCCCCTGGTGTCGTGACCCCGAAAGCAGTCATGAAGAGCTCTTGAAGGGATCGCAAACCTTCACCAAAAGTGAATTATTTATATTTTAACTCCAGTACAAACTGTAAGCATATTCATTTGAAGTTCATTTATTCGTATTCGCGTTATAATTAAATAAACTTGCCATGTCGATAAAAAGAAGGTCAATGCATCAACCATTAAGAAAAACCATTAAGAAAAGCTTACGCTATCCGTGACACCCATGTTTTTGGCTTTTCAATGCGTAATATGTCGGCTTCCATTTTTTTCAGATGGCGAAAGAAGAAAATGGGCAAATAGGGGTTACTATTTCAGTATGGGACTGCCAGCTGGTATTGGAAGGCCGTAGAGGGGTGTTAGATGTGCTCACGTTCTCTCACACGAATCACTGAACGAAAACAAATTTCTCGTCATTTGAAAAATAATCATCATTCTGATCGTAACATGCATTGTTCTTTGCTTCCCTGTAGACCCTGCCAAGATATGATTAAGAGTCAAGAACGAGCTAGCTGACTTAGGCCTTTTGAATGTTTCTTTGTTGGTTTCTTGAGGGGTCGTTGGAAAACAGAAGCCACATATTATAAGACATTGATTAAGCATGTAGTAACTGATATGGTCAGAGAGATGAGTATTCCCTTGTGAAATGCTGCAGTGTGGGGATCACATTCGATATCTGTCTGAACATATCGTGTTCAGACAGATACACTGTCGTGTACAACGTGTACAGACAGTACACTGTACACGTTGTTCAGTGTTCAGTGAACACTGAACAACGTGTCCACAGCGGGTTTGTACTCTCGTGGTAATCACTTCAAGAGCAGCCATCCGCTGAGTGACTTTCCAGTACTTTCTTGATCTTTCATGTCACCGCTAAATGTTAAAAATGCCGCATATAAACAATAGCTTAGTGAACATATTATTACCATAAAGTCATACGAGTAAACTCTTAGACATCGTATCTTTTTCTATGCAAACTTAATGCAATTATTATTAAAGGTGAAGCAAACACCCAATATAGAACTGTATTATGATTATTGCACTATTGAGAAAATCTGTAGGAGCCATGAGGAGGATTCGAACTTATGCAGTGGGGGTATTCTCAAGCACATGCCATAAACCACTACACCACGACATGCTCAAAAGCAAAGGCGTCTAAGGTGTGTACTTCGGAGTACCCAGATCATAGGTTCGAATCCTCCTGTGAAGACTCCTACTGATTTTCTCATTGATACATCACGTTAAATCCATCTGGAGTGGACACAACCATGGGAGTCCCGCCTTAATATTCTGGACGCGACAATCGACGTAACATCAAATTGTCGGGAAAAATACACAAAAGATGTGTTTGCCTTTCAGATCAACCTTCATTGATCAGATTTCTTTACCTCTGCCAGATATTGAAACGAAATAAAGAATCCAGTTGGCTCCAGAGCTCGACCTTCCAATCACCTTCACCGTGAAGATTTGCGTCTCCTGTGCAACAAGGCCAAACATTATTCCCACAGAGTACCAATCACTTCATAGAATTCACAGAAACTCAATCATGGCGACCAATCAGACTACGGAAAACTGGTAACCTTGGCTGAACCGACCAATCAACGAGAGGTCCATGGCGGGACAGACTAAACAAACAGCACCGTGGGAGCCGCACCTTACTCCCGCACTACGAACCAAAGTGGTGTAATTTCACGGCCTGGCGACGACCTTGTGGCCGCCAGCGTCGCTCATACAAGAAGATGTTACACAGGAAATGACGTCGCCATTTTCTCATCGGCACTCCTTGAGCCTTGACATGCTGACCACAAGAAATATATTCACTCTGCGTCTGTCTCTCTCTGTGGATCTGTCTCTTTTTGTTGATTGTGGCTAGGCTAACTCCAGATAGTTTTCCAAAAAATAAAGCCTGTCGATGGGGTATCTCTCTCGTGTACGTGCGTGTGTGTGTGTGTGTGTGTGTGTGTGTGTGTGTGTGTGTGTGCTTACCTAATTGTGCTTACCTAATTGTGCTTGCGGGGGTTGAGCTCTGGCTCTTTGGTCCCGCCTCTCAACCGTCAATCAACTGGTGTACAGATTCCTGAGCCTATTGGGCTCTATCATATCTACATTTGAAACTGTGAATGGAGTCAGCCTCCACCACATCACTTCCTAATGCATTCCATTTGCTAACTACTCTGACACTGAAAAAGTTCTTTCTAACGTCTCTGTGGCTCATTTGGGTACTCAGCTTCCACCTGTGTCCCCTTGTTCGCGTCCCACCAGTGTTGAAAAGTTCGTCCTTGTTTACCCGGTCGATTCCCCTGAGGATTTTGTAGGTTGTGATCATGTCCCCCCTTACTCTTCTGTCTTCCAGTGTCGTGAGGTGCATTTCCCGCAGCCTTTCCTCATAACTCATGCCTCTTAGTTCTGGGACTAGTCTAGTAGCATACCTTTGGACTTTTTCCAGCTTCGTCTTGTGCTTGACAAGGTACGGGCTCCATGCTGGGGCCGCATACTCCAGGATTGGTCTTACATATGTGGTGTACAAGATTCTGAATGATTCCTTACACAGGTTCCTGAACGCCGTTCTGATGTTAGCCAGCCTCGCATATGCCGCAGACGTTATTCTCTTTATGTGGGCTTCAGGAGACAGGTTTGGTGTGATATCAACTCCTAGATCTTTCTCTCTGTCTGTTTCATTAAGTACTTCATCTCCTATTCTGTATCCTGTGCCTGGCCTCCTGTTTCCACTGCCTAGTTTCATTACTTTGCATTTACTCGGGTTGAACTTCAACAGCCATTTGTTGGACCATTCACTCAGTCTATCCAGGTCATCTTGTAGCCTCCTACTATCATCCTCTGTTTCAATCCTCCTCATAATTTTTGCATCGTCGGCAAACATTGAGAGGAACGAATCTATACCCTCTGGGAGATCATTTACATATACCAGAAACAGTATAGGTCCAAGGATTGACCCCTGCGGGACTCCACTTGTGACGTCTCGCCAATCTGAGACCTCACCCCTCACACAGACTCGTTGTCTCCTGTTGCTTAGGTATTCCTCTATCCACCGGAGTACCTTCGGTGTGTGTGTGTGTGTGTGTGTGTGTGTGTGTGTGTGTGTGTGTGTGTGTGTGTGTGTGTGTGTGTGTGTGTGTGTGTGTGTGTGTGCTCACCTAGTTGTGCTTGTGGGGGTTGAGCTCTGCTATTGTGTGTGGTGTAACTCACCAAGGGTGTTGAAGGAGGTCTTGGCTGAGCCGCCCGAGGCCCCGGACCACTTGAGGGCGTACTGGGTGCTGGGCGAGAGGTTCCTCAACACCAGAGAGTCCTCACCCCCGTTCACCATCTCCCGCTGCCACTCTGAGCCCTCCGCCGCCTGTAGGGGTCAATACAACACGGTCACACTACCACCAGCAACACATATTGACAATCTGGATTGATTGATTGATAAAGATTAAGCCACCCAAAACGTGGCACGGGCATGAATAGCCCGTAAGTGAAGGCCCTTTGGAGCCATTACCAGTATCAATAGCGGATACTGGAGATCTGTGGATGGGCAATCTGGAAAAATGAATCCTCATCTTATACAGGTGGAAAATGCTATGACTATCATTAGAACTCCAACTGTGTATAATAATAATGCTGTTCACCATCATGAGTGGGGAGACATCAGTCCGGATAAAAGGGGAACAGTATTGGAAAATGCTAAAAATATTAACAAGATTAAAAACGTCCATTCACCCTCATAGCCATACAACATGTGTGTAGTTCTCAAAGAGACCCAGAACCACCACACTCCAGCGTGTCACCCGCAGCAGCAGTAATCCACTGCTCCACTAGGCAATTGTACAGTATCCATAGTTATATCTATCTCCCCAAACTGCTACCACACAATCTTGTTACCCATCACACGCCGTACGCTACTCATACCTCATCTCCGCACCCTCTAACACTCATACACCTTCACACTCCTCCTGGATTCACTCCAATACACTCATTCCCCGCCTATTAGCTAGAAAACTAATAGTCAAGCCTGGCCTCGGGCCGGAATTGTGGAGTTGAAGAACTCCCAGAACCTCATCAAGCAAGTATCACAATCCGCTCAAAAAATCGTACACATGACGCTTTGAAACTTCTCGTTTTCTGTTTGTAAACTCTTATTTATTGTTAGATTAGGTTATCAACTTGGACGCAGTTGGGTTAGGTTAGTTGATTTAGGTCAGATAAGGTATGATAAGGAATGATAAAGTAATGTAAGATAAGATAAACCTAAATCGGTTTTGAAATCAGTTGTCGAGCCGGCTTGTACACGATGATACTTGTATCCCTACTACTTCCTCCCTTAAGCCCTGGCTACGTCACTCCCTGACTAGCTCTCTAAACAGCTTTCATTGCCGCAGTCACTTTCTTTCCCAGATTCACCCCACCCTCGACTCCGGTTGTGCAGACTCCACTTTTATCCATCGCGACACTTAGGTGTTTAAACACATCAGCCACTTCTGGCATTTATCCATTCACAATAATTGCACACATAACACACACTTTACCTTGTCTTTACACCAACTATACTTACTTCGTCCACTTTGCTTTTTAGAAGTTTTCATTCACACACCAATAAACATTTCAACTAATCTGCATAAGTCTCAAATTATTAATATTAATAATAAGTCTCAAGTGCCCCATCGAGGGACATACATCAAAACTAACGTATTCAAGTCCCGCCCATCAGTGCACTAAGCTTCTACCGTTCTCTAACATGTGTACGTGAACCTTCCTCTTAATCCCATCAATATACATCAATCACGGTGGCCTCACGTAAGCCTCGAGTACACCTACAGCAGTATCAAACCTTTCCTTATTTACACCATCAACTCCTACATATGCACTTCTTCCTACATAAAGATACTTCGTAATATGTTGCGGAACTCTACCATCTTCACATGTTTATCACTAAAAAAATATTATTATTACAGCCATTAAAACGAAGTTACAACATATCAAATAGTAAGAGAAAAATACTTGCACAACTTAATTATAGGGTTAATGAGGTCTGGTATTACATGGGAAGTTTACTGTAAACAGAATCACATTGTACGTAGACCCAAACAAGCTGGGTACAGCAGGAGAGGAGAGCCGACGAGGACTGGGGAGGAGGGCTAGGGAGAAGGGCTAGGGAGTAGGGCTGGGGAGGAGAGCTGGGAAAGAGGGCAGAGGAGGACTGGATCACCCACCTTGTAGTAGACCTCGCCGCCCTTGCTGGAAGGAAGGAGGACGGTGGAGGAGTTGCGAGTCACATTGACCACCTTCAGGGACCCACTCCCGCCCTTGGACTCCGTCTGCAGGTACAATAATTACACAATTACTGGCTATCGTCGCCCACACGATCTTCCCCACCTCACCCTCACACATGCACCCTCTCTCACACTTACACGAACATGAGCAGTTGCGCACACTATTACGGGCTCACCATAGCCCGTGCTACATGGACATTTCGTTCTGAGTAGCTAAATCTAAAAATAACAATAATTGCGCACACTATAAATCACTCACATTTCTATAGATAATGTCAGTTTACACAAATATGTACGCAAAAGCGTATATATACGCAACCCTATACTTAAGTCAAACAGAAGCGCATGAACCAATTCACACCGCTTCCTGTCCTCATCGAGGCCACCAGAGAGATAATGTCCCTCAGGTAAATTCCTGACGATCAAAGTGGTTGGGCAGTGTTCCTCCCCCTCCCCCTCCCCGGTCCTCATATCCCTTCCAAGTGCTATGTAGGCATACTGGCTTAGAGCTTTCTCCTGATAATTACCTTCCTTGCCTCACTCATTAGCAGGTCAACATTGTTACAAAACTAGCTCCAAATTGCAGCAACATTGCACTCCTCAGCAGCAGAGAGTACAAGACTTGCATTGTGCACACTACAGGGCCAGTTCTATTATATACAAACCACACACATACAGGACCTTGTCCCAACTAATACAAACACACAGTAGATGACCTTGTTACAACTAATACAGTTACAGGTGAAGCCGGAGTATCATCAACACATACACATACACATATCTGTACACCAGTAGATTGACTGTTGTAAATCGGGACCAAAGAGCTAGAGCTCAACCCCCTCAAGCACAACTAGGTGAACACACACACACACCACAATCAAAAACTGCAGCATAAAATTGTGTCTCACCCTAGTGATGACGGCACCCATAGTGAATAAGAGGCACTAACAGGTAACATAAGAATGATAAAACTCTCTTCCTCACCTTTGGGGACTCTGTGAAGGGCAGCTCCACCTGGGTCGCGTTGGCTTCTGTGGCTGGCGGGAGCAACACAACACGTTATGACTTTTATTTTTAACAAATGACATCATTCTTTCATTAAAACGCAAAGCACGATTTAAATATATATATAATTTTGTAAAGAGGTGCAGTGTAAAAAAATATATATATACACACAGATATAAGTTAATAAATAAATATAAATTTACCTGTAAGAGGACAGACTATTCAAGGTTATTATCTTAGGAAGGTGGCAAGAAGAAATGTAGGAAAAATGTGTCCAATTCATGTCAAATTGTCAGTGCAGCAAAATTAAGGAAGTCAAAATGTGCAACTTCTTGCATTCTATATGGTGTTATTTGTGGGCGGGGCTAGGGGCTCCCATGTGGGTGTGACTGGGTGCTAGGGGCTCCCATGTGGGTGTTACTGGGGGCTAGGGGCTCCCATGTGGGTGTGACTGGGGGCTAGGGGCTCCCATGTGGGTGTTACTGGGGGCTAGGGGCTCCCATGTGGGTGTGACTGGGGGCTAGGGCTCCCTTGTGGGTGTGACTGGGGGCTAGGGTTCCCTTGTGGGTGTGACTGGGGGCTAGGGTTTGCATGTGGGTATGAACTGGGGGCTAGGGCTCCTGTGTGGGTGTGACTAGGGGCTAGGGCTCCCTTGTGGGTGTGACTAGGGGCTAGGGCTGCCTTGTGGGTGTGACTGGGGGCTAGGGCTCCCTTGTGGGTGTGACTGGGGGCTAGGGCTCCCTTGTGGGTGTGACTGGGGGCTAGGGCTCCCGTGTGGGTGTGACTGGGGTCTACGGTTCTCTTGTGGGTGTGACTGGGGGCTACGGTTCTCTTGTGGGTGTGACTGGAGCTAGGGCTCCCGTGTGGGTGTGACTGGGGGCTAGGGTTCTCTTGTGGGTGTGGGTGTGACTGGGGGCTAGGACTCCCTTGTGGGTGTGACTGGGGGCTAGGGTTCTCTTGTGGGTGTGGGTGTGACTGGGGGCTAGGATTCCCTTGTGGGTGTGACTGGGGGCTAGGATTCCCTTGTGGGTGTGACTGGGGGCTAGGATTCCCTTGTGGGTGTGACTGGGGGCTAGGGCTCCCGTGTGGGTGTGACTGGGGGCTAAGGCTCCCTTGTGGGTGTGACTGGGGGCTAGGGCTCCCTTGTGGGTGTGACTGGGGGCTAGGGCTCCCTTGTGGGTGTGACTGGGGGCTAGGGCTCCCGTGTGGGTGTGACTGGAGGCTAGGGCTCCCGTGTGGGTGTGACTGGGGGCTAGGGCTCCCTTGTGGGTGTGACTGGGGGCTAGGGCTCCCTTGTGGGTGTGACTGGGGGCTAGGGCTCCCGTGTGGGTGTGACTGGGGGCTAGGGCTCCCTTGTGGGTGTGACTGGGGGCTAGGGCTCCCTTGTGGGTGTGACTGGGGGCTAGGGGCTCCCATGTGGGTGTGACTGGGGGCTAGGGTTCTCTTGTGGGTGTGACTGGGGGCTAGGGTTCTCTTGTGGGTGTGACTGGGGGCTAGGGCTCCCGTGTGGGTGTGACTGGAGGCTAGGGCTCCCGTGTGGGTGTGACTGGGGGCTAGGGCTCCCTTGTGGGTGTGACTGGGGGCTAGGGCTCCCTTGTGGGTGTGACTGGGGGCTAGGGCTCCCGTGTGGGTGTGACTGGGGGCTAGGGCTCCCTTGTGGGTGTGACTGGGGGCTAGGGCTCCCTTGTGGGTGTGACTGGGGGCTAGGGGCTCCCAAGTGGGTGTGACTGGGGGCTAGGGTTCCCGTGTGGGTGCTGCAGGAGCAGTGCTGCCAATTCTAAAAAGCAGGTGACACGGTCTTATATAGGTGGTAATACTGTGCGATGTGTTCATCTGACGTCAGTTACTCACAGAACTGCTTCCGTGTTTGTCTAAAATAATCAGTTGTTTATAATATGGTTATTGTGTGGCTCCAATCTGTGGCTATATTGGCTATACCAATAACATGCATCTGTTTTCATTTAGTCAGCAGCGCTGTTTTACAAGCCATGAGCTGGCCGCTGGAAAACTATTTGTTTGGGCGAGAGCTTACCTTGAACCTTCTTGCCTTCCCTTGCTAAGCTCAGGTCGTCGTCGTCGTCGTTGTGGTGGGGGGCAAGCGTGGCAGGTATCAGGTCTTGGGGCGTGTGGGTGACCACCTCGACGTGCTCTTGAACTGTGATGCGGTGAAGCAAGTCTCCAGAGTCGTCGTATTCGAGCACCACCGCCGGCTCCTCTCCCTCCTTCGTCGGCTCATCGGTCTCCTTCGTCGGCTCATCGGTCTCCTTCGTCGGCTCTTCGGTCCCCTCCGTCACCGGCGTCAATGTCGTCGGCTCGTCCGCTCCCGTCACCTCCTCCACGGTCTCTTGCACCGTCACGTCTTCCTCTGGTACAATCGTCACATTTTCCTCTTGTGTAACGCTACTTAATTCAGTCACCACTTCCACCACCGTCGCATTGATAACGTCCTCGGTAACAGCGGTATTGTTATTACTCACAGGCTTAAACTTTTCTATAGCCTTCACGTCAGTTACTTTCTTCTTGTCATTTTTCTTGCCGAGCTCATCTTCCAGATCTCTGAGTCTCTTTTGGTACTCGTGCTCTGTGATTGGTGGCAGGGGGTCTGGACCCACCATGCGGCCCCTCTGTGGCTCATCTTCCGGGACTGACCCAGGCTGTGTGATACCTGGCGCAGTGAGCACCGTAGGCTGCGCCAGGCTGTTGGCGCACGCCACAACAACACAGCATTCGTCAGTCTCTGGTCGATTGCGCAGCTCAATACACAATTCTTGCTGAGAATGTTGGCCGGCCAGGAATAGTCCAGGCGGGCACGTGACCGGACCACAGGAGAAGGTGCCATCGGAGGTACAGCGGCACTGCTCCTGACACTGGCCGGCGTAGCGGACTTCACCCTCGCCGTAAAGCCGACCCTCGTGCTCACATCCTGAAGAAGAGCACAGCTACTGGTCACTACCGCTTAGCTTACCCCGCTAATGCACATGTGAGTGTCGTAGTGGACCAGGTAATGATAAGAGCCTCAGCTACACCTCTGGTGGAGGATCATATAGGCAGCGCGACATCATTAGTATGTTAAACTTCACTTATCTGAAGCAGCTGTGAGCATGGGCACAAAGTTAACGATATATCAGTCATCGCAGAGTGGGTGAAATTGCACCAAATTGCTGTGGATTAAGCACATGTACTCGTGTGGCGATAACACTGTTAAGACGTAAAGCATAAACATGGATGTTGTATCAGATGTTGTGGTCGGTGTTGTGTGATGCAGACCACAACACGCAGTCACATGCACAAGTCGTTTAGCTTCTGCCGTGAGGGCTTTCTACAAGGCTACAGTCTGCTGTGGCAGGGATCACAGGCGCGCAGGACCCTGGCAGCCACAGAACTACTACTCTATAAGCATCAAACACCACATTCACTACAATACTACATTATACTCAAGTCTTGCAGCCTACACAACTTCCATTCTCAAGCACGGTTCTAAAACTAGATGGTTCAACATTCTTCGTTGTCAGTGGAGTCCCTCATCCTCCGCCCGGCCGCTGCCTTCCCTGTTATGTTTACAGAATCAGCTGACCAACTCTGCTTTCGTAACATCTGTTATTTCACAATTTAGTTTTCCAGAGGAGGACAGTAGAAATTGATTTCAGTGTATTTTCCATTACTCACAGTTGTGCGTATAGCGTTAATAATTTTGAACACGATACCGTAGTAGTTGGTCCACTGGTGGTGTTGCCTGATGGAGAATGGGTATAGGAGGCTAGGCTGGGCGGGGCGAGACATGGTTGAGACGCGTCCACAACACAAACGTTACTTGTACTACCGTCTCAGTCAATAACTACGTCTCGTTTACGTTAGTGTACATGTTCTGGTGTGTGTGTGTGTGTGGTGTGTGTGTGTGTGTGTGTGTGTGTGTGTGTGTGTGTGTGTGTGTGTGTGTGTGTGTGTGTGTGTGTGTGTGTGTGTGTGTGTGTGTGTGTGTCATAACCAGCTTACAGAAGCATGTCCCTAACTACGCCTCATCAGTAACGTCAGAAACATGCAGAAATGTGAAATAAGCAAGAACATGCAGTATTCAACGTTTCCCATAGTGATGTAAACACTGTCGTAAATATTATCAAACAATTGGTCAGAACATAAACACAAAACTAACCTGTTGACTGACATGCAGCTGAAAAGAAAGTTGGAAATCATGCAGGCTACGACTGAACGCATGCCGAGTACTCTAAACCAGACAGTATACACACAAAATCGTGACCAAGGGCAGGCTTGGCTATATTGATCCCGGGAAATTCTGGTTATCAATAAAAAAAGATAAACATGAGGATTTGACTCTCAAAATATATAATAATATACGGGGGGTTAAGTTGGTTAGATGGGTGGGAAGACAACACCAATATTCTACGTTATCGTTAACTGTTGTTATTATACTTTACAACATGCATAACAATAAGGCAAAACCCGTGATAATGAAAAGTTGGCAACAGAGAAAGAGAGAGAGAGAGAGACAGAGAGAGAGAGACAGAGAGAGAGAGAGAGACAGAGACTGAGAGTAGGGGGGAGAGGATTAGACACTGATAAACAGTAAAGGATGAATGGTACTGGATAGAAGAAGGTAAGGGAAAACGCTGGGAGGGAATTAGAAGAGCTGTACACACGCCTAGCCACATTCTTTTTCCTCTAAACACACACACACACATTGGGTGCTGCTGAGTGGACAGCGCTCGGAGGTCATAGTCCTAAGGGCCAGAGTTCGATCCCCGGCAGAGACAGAAACAAATGGGCAGAGTTTCTTTCACCCTGGTGCGCCCCTGTTCACCTAGCAGTAAATATGTACCTGGGAGTTAAACGGCTGCCTCCTGGGAATGTGTGCGTGTGTTAGAGTGAAATATGTGTAGTAGACATAAGAGGAAAAATAAATTGGTTAGAAAAGCGGGGTCCAAGAGCTGATGGAGAACTCGATTCTGCAGATACAAATAGTAAACACACACACACTGGCACAGTTTTGTTTACGGAAACAAAAAATCAAAGTTTAGTGATTATGTACATTCATGAACTAGAAATATGCACGCAAAAATATATAGAAATATTTATATACATACATATGAATGAGTCATGTACAAATGAGATGTTTAGAGGAAGGGCAGGAAAGGCTTTCACCACTACTACAGCACCAGTAAGATCATCGTCCGCAAAAAAGACAAATAAGAAATAAATAATAATATTTTTCCTTAAATTACAGTCAGGTAAGCAAGCCCTGAAAGAAACAAGAACGGCGAGTAACACCAGGTCAGTAACGTATTCACGTCCATGTTACATTAATGATCTAGAAGAACACTACAGTTATTCTAGAAGAACTAGAATAACAGTGTGCCGTATCCGGACCAGCAGGACAGCCCCGAGTCACTAGACCTGCCCGGGACCTGCTGTAAAACTGAGGCTGCTGTCTAGCACGCTTGTGAGGCCTCTGGACTTAACCTTATGTAAACAATTACAATTTGGTATATAGTACTGCAGTGTTGGGAGAAGCGGTGGTTACTCTCACGCCCAGTGCGGCAGCCTAGGGTAGACGACCCCCCTGGAACCTGCACACCAGCAAGGTTAACCTGCCCACTCTAACGCTTCCTCCCAACACAAATTATACCGACAATCATCCACTCCAAAGACCTGTTCTACTTCCTGCCCAGATGCCCCACCCGCTCTAGGTGCCCCTCTACCTGAACTGTTGCCCCCATACCTGACCAGATACCCCTCTATCTGAACAGTAAATAAGACGCCAAATCAGGAAGACAATGTAGCATCGTCCTATCTAACAAGGTCCCTCCCTTACCTTCGGCTCACCATAGCCCGTGCTACTTGGAACTTTTTGTTCCAAGTACCAAATCTTAAACAACAACAAACATTCTAGGTGCTACCATACCTATCTAAATGCCCCCCATACCTGCCTATGTGCCCATCCCGATCTGTTGAGTGTCCCCTGCTCTCCAAACATCTCCTACTCCGCTTCCCATCCTCCGTCAGTGACCTCACACCATGAAGAAGGAAACTGTCAAGGAATTGCTGTCATTAGCCAACCCCGCGGAGGTTAATGCTCTTTGCTAAACTACTTCTTACCCTTCTCACCGCCAGTTACTGTCTCTTTAACAGTTATAATTTACGATGCAATTCGTCCTTTGCTACAAGCTCTCTACTCAGCCTGGGAAACTTGCAGACATCAGTATTACTAGTATTAACAAGTTTCCAAACACTGTGAACGTCCCCCTCCTTTTCTTGTGATGAAATTCTTCACGTTCCTGGCCACAATAAGGATAACAATCAAAATGCTCTATATTGGGGTCACACATTGTATGTGAAGGCCTATGCTGAGTGAGTCTAGCCCTCGCCTTTACTACCCCTAACACCTTGCACATCCTAGTTCCTCATTACGTTAGCAGTAACTCATCTCAATGACTCGTTTCCCTTTTTCAAACATCTTCATGCCCTCTCTTCCTTCTCTCAAGCACCCCAAGGCCAGCCCCCCCCCCGTCTCCTTAATCATCCCCATTATCTCCTCTTCCTTTCTAATGCCTTGCCTTAACCCCCGTCCCTTTTCTTGCGAGTTCTCATGGCCCCTGTCCTTATGCAACCCCATGGCCCTTCTTCCTTACAAACCCCCGTAATTCCTCCCTTTCCTTCCTTCCTGACGGATCCCCAGTAGCGGCCACATCTGTGCTCCTCCCCTCTCCCCAAACTCTCACACACACTAACCTTTCGCTGTGCCGTTGTACGGGATGCAGACATTGGCCTCGGAGTTGACCAGAGTGCCAGCCGGACATTCGCACACCGGTCGGTGGTCCTTGGAGACGCATACCCTGCCGCTCAGGACCCCTTGGCATGGCGTGAGGATCGGGCAGGGGTCCACACACACCCCGCCCAGACAGAAGCGGTCAGAGGGACACTCTCCGTCGTACGTGCAGGGGAACTCCGCTGCAAGGGAGGGAACGGAAAAGAAACATCTCAGTCGAAGGAAATTGTAAAAGGAGGAAATGTTATAATTTCCGAAAATGAGTAATTACCGACGTTCAAAACACAGGAAAAGGAAACCGTCAGGAAAAACCATGGGAAGAAAAACGTAAGAGATAAAGTATCAACAATAAAGTTTGGTAAAAAAAAAACTTTGGTCATGAAGGGAAGAAACGTACGGAGGAAACTATAAAAACTTAAGAACATCTGAAAAAATTGTAGAGGGATCTCTCGGGTGTAACAGGTACAGGGGGAGCAGCTTTAATACTGTACCAGGGAACCTTAGTAATAATGTACAGAAAAATTCACTGCAGGTTAAATAATGATACAGAAATTACAAAACCGATTAAAGAAAACGTAAAAGGAATAATTCACATTTCAATATACATGTTCAACAAAGAGGCAGTATGTTTAAACTACCTATACAACGGCTGTGAATATAATGGCGGTACATCATTTGTGCAATAATATATGCAAATTGCACACACACACATATATAAAACAAAGACGGTAGAGGGAAACAACATCACATGCAAATAGCAACAAAGCTGCAACAGATAAATATCAAAGTACTTAAAATATGAGGTGATTTGCAGGTGTTTATATAAACCTGTGAGCAGCGTTTGAGAGGCAACTAGCCGTGACGCGGTAACAACACGTAATGACAGACGAGGGGGAACTACCACAAACATCTCCCCCGGTTAGAACCACCGGACGTAACAGCCCATTCTCGTGCCTGTGTTCATAGTCCATAATCTGCCCTGGTTGGCTGATCACCCGTGGAGTCCCAAACACCCACGCCGACACACTCCGCTGCCACGCTCAACAAGTTCAGTGTGAAGAACCCCAGAGTGCCAGTGACAGCCCTGCCAGGGGGGGGGGGCCGCCCTTCGCTGCCTCCAGAACGGCCATACACTCATACAATAGCATAGGTGTAGACAGGTATATGCAGGGTACTTATATCTATATAATGTACAGATAGGTATAACACGTCCTTGTTATACCTATCTGTACATCCTAGAAGTCAGGTTATGTCAAAGGATATATACACCCCGTATTCAGGTATATGTCCTCCGAGAGGTTTTGGTCTACAGTACAATACTCATACACACAGAGTTTACTTTGGTCTTGAAATATCTTGAGGACTGGTGTATACCTGTTGGTTGGACATTAAGCGAGCCTCAACCTTAATATCCCTCCAGAGGTTGGTAGGCCTTAAGACCAACACAACCCAAACCGATGTGGCTTTGAAGAATCCAATACAGAAACGAACTTAAAAACAAAAAAATAATATGAATCTAAAAAAGTTCTATTTTTCAGATTCATCATTTTTTTCAGGAGTGGAAAAAACGAAATTAAAAACATATGCCTATCCCTGCATAACTTAGACCTAATATAACAAAATTTAGCTTTCAATATTCTTTTTCTTACCTTTCAAGAATCCATTTTCCAGTGATAGGAAGAGGTAAGAGCTGCAGTGGTGGAAGATACACAGCAGTAACAGCAAGAAACAAGGTACACAAGCAAACTAGCCATATAACTAACCACCGGGACTGACCAATGAGAGAACACCCGCGCTCACCTGTCGTGTCTGACCAACCAAAGCGCACTTGACTGCACCTGCCTTTCAAAGAGCCACTTTAGACCATCAACTTACAGAGGTAAGTTGTAGGCCTTTTGAACGGTCGAGATTGAAGCAGCCTCAATCGTTCCTTCCACTCACACCAGTCAACTGCTTTATGTGTGTTTATATATCATTTATATATGTGTGTGTGTATATATATATATATATATATATATATATATATATATATATATATATATATATATATATATATATATATATATATATATATATATATAATTAATCACGTTCAATGTTTCACCGTTCAGGTTCTAAGATACACGTTTTCCAGTATGGTTAAAATTAATTATAAGGTTAGTTAGGTTGAAGGTTAAACTCATGTTGTTTAACCTTGTTTCAAGTGTGACAATATTTTCGCGAAGCAACAGGGAGAAGACGGAGCAGGTGGTTGAGCAGCTGCAACAAGCCTCGTTAACAAGGAACAAGGCAGTATGGTGCAGGTGACCGGAAACTGCAGTTAACTTCGGGTCTGAGTTCTTGTAGGAGGGATGCCAGGTGAGGAGGGCTGTAGGGAGGGCGGATGTGGGAATTAAGACCCGCATGTCGAGTGGGTTCAACACCTGCCTTCTAGAGTGGGTTCATCACCTGCCCCCTAGAGTGGGTTCATCACCTGCCCCCTAGAGTGGGTTCATCACCTGCCCTCTAGAGTGGGTTCATCACCTGCCCTCTAGAGTGGGTTCATCACCTGCCCTCTAGAGTGGGTTCATCACCTGCCCTCTAGAGTGGGTTCATCACCTGCCCTCTAGAGTGGGTTCATCACCTGCCCTCTAGAGTGGGTTGATCACCTGCCCTCTAGAGTGGGTTGATCACCTGCCCTCGAGAGTGGGTTCATCACCTGCCCTCTAGAGTGGGTTCATCACCTGCCCTCTAGAGTGGGCTCAGCACCTGCCCTCTAGAGTGGGTTAGAGTGGGTTCATCACCTGCCCTCTAGAATGGTTACAACACTTTTCTCTCTAGCTTAAAACTTGAGGAGACTATCAGTGAGACACAGAAGGCAGGGGGTGGGCGAGACCAAGGCTGTGTTCTGCCTCCAGGCAAGTGAGCTATGCACGTACTGAACGCTACAAGCTTCCTGTGTGTGTGGGGGTTGATATTATACACCCATCCTCCAGCACTGCGAGGCTCCATCACAAGGTAACTAACGTCCTCTCTAGAATAGTGTAAACACTGTCCAGAGTGATAATACCATCTGTTGAGACAGGTAATTAAGCCCTGTTATTACATCTCATTAAAGCAAGAGACAGTCAAGAAACAAATTACCGCCGAAGTTCTTATTTCCCAGATGGTTTGAACCTAGAGAGCGTTGTTTGATGTAGGCTTTGCAGAATGAGAGTACATGGGAGTAGGTTTTCATGGGCTACACGAACTGTGGTGTGTGCTCTGCCCTTCCAAGAGCCGGCTAGCCGGAGTCTAGTGGATATGTTGGTCCGCTGGCAGCTCCAAGCAATAGTCTGTTGGACCAAGTTTAACAGAAGACGAGTGTGGACCCCTCCAGGCCGGATTTCGGGGGTAGAAGAGCTCCCAGAACCCAATCCAGATACACTCCGGGAGTAGACTTGTATACCACCAGGTCGATACGTACACTAAAGTACGTGGTAACACAAGAGTGAAAGGGAAAACCTTAGCCAGTAAGTAAACAACGGAGAATAATGCAGGAGACGAGAAGGGCAGCGACCACAATGGAGAGCATACCTGCAGCACAGCTGGAGCATACCTGCAGCACAGCTGGAGCATACCTGCAGCACAGCTGGAGCATACCTGCAGCACAACTAGAGAGAGTTGCGAGAATTCTACTCTCCGAGCCCGGCCTGGGGCCAGGCTCAACGTGTAACTTGGTCCAACAGGCTGTTTCTTTAAGCGGCCGGCAGGCCCACATGTCCGCTGCAAACCAGTTGGTCCGGCACCTCTTGCATAAACCTATACACTTGTGTTTTGAGGGAGTCTCCCTTTGTTCCGGAAATGGCCGGTCTTCATTACTCGTCTGTAGTATTTTGTAAATAAAATAAAGACAGGCAATATATTTACACTAATAATAATGAAAAAAATAAATACACGCGTACCAGTCGCCTCACGAGGACAACAAATAAAAATGGAGGACGCGAACTCTACGAAATATAAATATTCTAACGTGAGACAAATAAATAACCCGGCTGTTGATGTGGATGAGTGTGCGTGGGGCGGAACACTGATGGAAGGATGGGGGGGGGGGAGGTAACATGTTTTATCATCCAGTGTTCATCCATAATGCCAAGTCTCACCCCACCCCCCCAACACCTCCACCCCCCTCTCTCCCCTACTCCACACCCCCACCCCCTCTCTTCCCTACTCCACACCCCCACCCCCTCTCTCCCCTACTCCACACCCCCCTCCCCTCACCACTGTCTGAGGAAGTTACTGCCCCCGAGGAGCGTAGTTCCTGCCGACCAACATCGCAAACTACCTTCACCCTTAACGCAATTGCCGCCGCCACGGTAACCACCTTACCTTGAGGTTACCTTGAGGTGTTTTCGGGGTTTAGCGTCTCCGCGGCCCGGTCGTCGACCAGGCCTCCTGGTTGCTGGACTGGTCAACCAGGCTGTTGGACGCGGCTGCTCGCAGCCTGATGTATGAGTCACAGCCTGGTTGATCAGGTATCCTTTGGAGGTGCTTATCAAGTTCTCTCTTGAACACTGTGAGGGGGTCGGCCAGTTAAGCCCCCTTATGTGTAGTGGAAGCGTGTTGAACAGTCTCGGGCCTCTGATGTTGATGAGAGTTCTTTCTCAGAGTACCTGTTGCACCTCTGCTCTTCAACGGGGGTATTCCGTATTCCACCACTACAATCACCTGCTGATGGGGTTCTGGGAGTTCTTCTACTCCAAGCCCGGCCCTCCAGCCATCATCACAACTAATCCCACAATCTCCACCGCAACAACCATCACAATCTCTACCAACACAAGCCCATCGTAAATCTAAGAAATGGCTACTGAAATTTAATACTAGTAAGTGTAATGTGATGTAAATAGAGAAGGCCAAGAGGACTGTTTCTCCGTAAAGAGGAACAACCTCCACGAAATGAGGTAAAAGATCAAGCACTAAAGAACACAACTCTTACCCCAGAGGCACATGTAAATATTAGGGGGTGAGGGGCGGTGGTGGAGAAGAGGGGGGGTGTGGGGCGGTGGTGGAGAAGTGGGGGGTTGTGGGGCGGTGGTAGAGAAGTGGGGGGTTGTGGGGCGGTGGTGGAGAAGTGGGGGGTTGTGGGGCGGTGGTGGAGAAGAGGGGGGTTGTGGGGCGGTGGTGGAGAAGAGGGGGGGTGTGTGGGGCGGTGGTGGAGAAGAGG